AGGACTGAGCCGTGTGGGACCACAGATGTGACATCTGCAGGTGGCAAAGCCACCCGGCACAGCATCTCCCCAGGGAGGGAGGGAGCGGAGGGGGCAGCAGCGGAGCAGGGGGTGATCGCAAGGGGCACTTGCTCAACCACAGCCAGACTGGGTGGAAATAAAGTCTTTTATAAACCGGAGTCTGTTCTGGGGTGCCAAACCCTATCCCTGGGGCTCCCATCCGTTAGGGAATGCCAAAATCCAGTCTCGGGGAGAAGGCAGCTCCTTCCAGCCGTGCTGGCCCCCCGCCTGCCTGCAGACAAGCTCCCTTTCTCCCCGCCGGCCGCAGCCCCGACGTGACTGGGAGGCCGAGAGCGGGGAGCCGGGACCTGCGCGGCCCTTGCTCCGTGCCCAGCGATGCCTGCTGCGGTTTCCTATTCCCGATCCTCGCTCCGTGCCCAGACGCCTACTGCAGCCCCAGGGATCTCGGGCCCTCGCGGCCCGTCCCGAAGGCTCCGTGCCCGCCGCTCCAAGCGGACCGGGCTCCCTCAGCCCGCTCAGCTAGCCTGGCCTGTGTTAGCCTAGGCAACACGGTTGGGTTCGGGGTTTGTTCCTTTTTTCTGGCCTCGGAGACGGTGCGACCAATCCTTCGGCCGTTTTGGGGGCCTTTTTTTTTTTTTTTTTTTTTTCTTTTTTTTTTTTTTTTTTCTTGTTCACCCCCCGAGCTGTTCGGTTCGGTTTTGGCCCAGCATCTCAGAGCCGGCGGGAGGAGCATCGGCCGGGGCCGGGGCCCGGCGGCACGGGAGGGGCCGGCTCGGCCCCGGAGCTCGGCACAGCCGAGCCAGCCGGAGGAAGGACACCAAATCCAGCGGATTCGTCTGCAGAGACGAGGGGACCCCGCCAGGAGTGCACAGGTTCCCTCAGGTTCCCTCTGTTTGCCCGGGCTGCTGCGTGCCCCCCTTGTGTTCCCCCTTCCCCGGGACAGGAGCCGCCGCCATTTTCTCCCCCCTCACCGCATTGCCGGCCCCCCGGTGTGGGCTTTTTTCCCTTTCCTGGAATTTTGTTTCGTTTTGTTGGGGGTTTTTGTTTGTTTTGGTTTTTTGTTTTGTTTTGGTTCGTTTCTTTTTGTTCTGTTTCATTTCGTTTCGTTCTGTTTTTATCCGGCGGGGATGGGTGGGGGGGGGCAGTGGTGTTAAGGTCGGACAATTCAATATCTAGCATGTATTCATTTTCTTTTTCCGTGCGGTGCGGGCACTCTGGGAATAAACGATTGGGGGTTTTTTTCACTTTCATCCACTGCTGTTAACCTCCTATTGGCAGAAAGGGATTGTTGCAACCCTTCTTTAGAGGAAACACTCGTTCCAGAGCGTTTGTCTCCTAAGCTTGTCTCTAAACCGAGACACTCATCTAGGTGGCATTTGGATGAGATTCAAACCCTCCAGGATGGAAGCCCAGCTCTCCAGGGAGATCACCATATCACCTCCTGGCCTCTTTCCCGGCTGGAAGGGAAAGGACAGAAATTGGGGAGTGGGATAGGAACAGAAGGCAGAGTTTTGCCGAGGCTCTCCTCGCCTTGGGGTCAGAAATGCGCGTTTATCACTCAGGACTGTGTTCATCCAGCGGGGATTAACCCTTCCATAGGCACCCGGGGATGGGGGTGAGCTGCAGGGAGCATTCGGGCAGGCCAGCAGGAACTCGGAAGAGGCTCCAGCAGCCCTTCGGGGCTGTTAAACCTGCCGGAATGTAAAACAGCCTGCAAGACTTCCAGTTTCTCCCAGTTCCTGCTTTTCAGTCAGGAACCAGCACTGCAGGACACAGAGAAGGCTGAACAGAGCACAGGTTACTCACCAGCCCCAGTGCTCCGGTTTATTACTTCCAGACGTTTCTGTACATATGGGAGTCATTGGTCACAGGGAGGAGGGGGAAAGTGAAAGCTGTGGCTAAATTCCCCCCTCCTCCTCACACTGGGGTGCTGGGAAGGGATGGGGGAGCATTTTGGATGACAAGAGGCTTCCATGAGTCACCAGAAAAACCCAGTGGCTGGGTCTGGTGCAGGAGCAGCTGGATCAACCCCCTTCCTCCACAGGCTGCTCCAAGGAGCCCAAGCATCACAGCTAAAGGGAAAGCAGGAATTCCTACTCCAGGCTTTTCACAAATGCTTTATTTGTAGGCGAGGGAGATGGACACAGAACAAGACAAGACCAGGAAGAGGCTGACACGGGACATGGTGGCGTGTGGTCTCCAGAGAACTGACACCCCCACACACACACACCCACACACAAACACACACACTTTCCTTCTGGAAACAGCAAAACTTGGAGCAAACAGCCAGTCCCATTCCCGCCGTGTCAGATATCACATGGGCACAGTGCTGAGGGGCAGCATGGACAGACAGATGGACGGCACAACCAAGGGATGCAGGTTAGGGCATCACAAAGGGCACTTCCAGCCTGTGAGCAGAGCACCAGGCTCGGGGACAGGTGGGAGAATGCTCTAGGGACAAGGGCTCTTGGAAGTGAAAAGCCATCAACTCAAGTTTTTGACCTTGCCTAAAGATCCAGGTGTGGATTTCCAAGAGTGTTAATTGCCAGCTCAAACCAGCGGACGGCTGGTTGCCAGGCACCTCCACACAGCCCTTTCCCCAAAGCCTTCCTGCTCCCAAAAGAAATGGCAGTAGTGGAATACAGGAAAAATGTCAGTGCTAAAGTCACAGAATCAGAATATTTTGGAGAGGGACCAACCTTAAATCCCACCCAGTGCCATCCCTGCCATGGCAGGGACACCTCCCACAGTCCCAGGCTGCTCCCAGCCCCATCCAGCCTGGCCTTGGGCACTGACAGGGATCCAGGGGCAGCCACAGCTGCTCTGGGCACCCTGTGCCAGGGCCTAAATTGTACAAAAACTTCTCCCTAGTACCCAGTCAGTCCTCCTGCAAGGGATTCTCCAAGGTCTGTGTTGCCCAGTTCTGCCTTTTCCAAGTCATCCCAACACTGTTTGCAAATCACAAACACATGGGAAGCATGGCTGGAATGGGCTTTCTCAGGTTGTCCAAGCCTTTCCCTCACAAAAAAGGGGAAAAATAACAACTTTTCCTATTGCTGCATCACTTCTGCAGACCCCCTGTCACAATCTGAGGGGACAATTCTGGCTGCACAGCCCCAGGCCTGAGTTTAATTCCTTACTCAAGGGTTGATTTATTCAAAGCAAGAGTACCTGCTTTGGCAATAGAGGAAATAATATTTTTCCAACAATCCCAATGCTCCAGACTTCTGCAAGTGCCTGATGGCTTTGTCCAGTACACATAATCTGGCAAAACCCATCCTAGGTCTCAGACATTTATTTATTTAATTTATTCAATTAAAATGAAGCCTGCAACAGACCAGCATCCCAAAGCGCATCTCCTGCTCCTGCCAAGCCTTGGGATCCTCCACTGGGAAAGCTGCCACTGATCCTCAATCCAACAAGTGAAACAAAACCAGGAGAGGTTTCTAAGTAATCAGAAGGTTTCTAAGTAATGCAGAGCTGGGAGTTTTGGGGAGGAATTTCTCTGTGTCCCTGTTTGTCATGAGCCAGAGTGAAGACTCCTTCTCTCTGCCGTTACTTTTACCACAGCCTGTGTATCCTTCACCAAATGCCATTTATCCCAGCCTGCAGCCCCCTGGAAACTGCAGCAGGAGCATTAATGCTTCTCAGACAAAAGTCCAGTCTCAAAAATGTACATGGCTTGACAGAGCTGAAAGGAATTTCCCTTCCACCCACCCCCACAGTTTTGGTGCTGTCCCTGGAATCCATTTTTTAATCAGTACCAGGAGTCCCTGAACAGCCACCTATGCAGGGAGGGCAGGGCTGGGAGCTGGCACGGAGCGACGCACCAGTCACTTCAGTAGGCTCTTGAAATATTTATTTTCTTTTCACTCACTCAATGTTAACAGCAAAACAGAATCCCAGGCAGCCCACAGGATTTCAGAAATCATTCATTTTCCAGTGGTGCTTCTACAGAATACAAAACTGACAGGCTTTCCACAGAGGGTTCTGTTTGGTCAGGCTTTTTTACGAGCTCACAAATCAAAGGGATAGCGCAAGGAATCACTCCAAGTCAGACTCTCCAAGTTACTTCATCACGGAGGAATGTGACTTCACCAGGATCATTCATGAGGATCCCGGGAAGCGAGACTGGATAGACACACTGGATTAGTTCATCCCTAAAAATCTGAACAGAGGAGTCTCCTGCAAAAGGGAATTTTGGCCATTTTGGGGACACGGCTGGGGAAAGAACTATTTTGCATCTTGGCTACTGAAGATCCACTGAATCCATCAGGAACTAGACCGGGGTAGACAGGACATCAAATTAATGCATTGACGCGGTGACTCACAGAGGGAAGCGCAGAGAGCCAGCAATTGCTCTTGTCACACCTGAGTGCCACGGCCACAGTGCCAGGAGGGCATTCCTCTCTGCAATGAGGCTTTCCTGTCTCTAATCCAGGCGCTTCCCAATCTGATGTGTCAGGGAAGGGACAGGGAGCAAGGCCACCACGGCTGCTGTGCCTGGTGAATCACAGCTCAGTGGAGCTCCACCAGGCCCAAGGCCACGGTTAAACTCTTTGTCCCACCTGCACCTCTCAAGTGCCAAGAATTCCTGGTGGCAAAGGCCACCACGGCTGCTGTGCCCTGTGCCCGGTGAATCACAGCTCAGTGGAGCTCCACCAGGCCCAAGGCCACGGTTAAACTCTTTGTCCCACCTGCACCTCTCAAGTGCCAAGAATTCCTGGTGGCTCTTGTCATGGGATGCACAGGGCAGCTCCCAAATCACCACAGAACTTTGCCTCGGCAGAGCAAGGTTAAAATCATCGGACAGCAGCAAGGGGTTATGGACACCAGGCAAAAAAAAAGGGATTTCACACATCCAACAGCAAAATACTGAGGAAAACTGCTCCAAATCATGTCTGCTCTTACACTCAAAAGTGACTCTTGGGTGAAAGCAAGCCCAGGAACTGGCTGTGGATAACTGAACCCTGAAGAAAAGCTCTCTGTGCACATGGAATTCTGGAAGTCAGGCAGCAAAATGATCTAGGAAGCAACAGTGGGAACAAGGTCCTTCCTCTAATACTGGGGAGAACAGCTGCCTACCCCTCCGCATCAACATCAGCAGGACTGACTCCAAGCTCTCCCAGGGTTTTTCCTACAGCCCATTCCATGTTTTTCCATCCCAAAGGTGCTGATCTCTGCCCAGCTGTGTGTGGCAGCTACAAGAAGGGAAGAACAAACACATTCCAGGAGCAGAAAACAGGCAAACTGCCTGTTGACCACATTGTCCCTGCTGCCCTTGGGTCTTCCCCATAAACACAGAGTCCTCTGGCCTGGGATGTGTCTGTAGCAGATGGAGTTACTCACACTCTCCTTCCCAGAGAGGATTTGAAACCAGCACCTGACAAACTGCAAGACTCTGAAATGGAGCTCACAGTCCCTCCTCGCCTTTTAGATTTACAATCCCATCCAACTTTGCCCAGGAAAGTGGCCTCCAGGCTTTTCCCACAGTTTAACCCCTAAGGCTGGCACTGGTGAGATGAAACCTGAGCTCCCAGTGAAGCTCATTCCTCGTCTGCTTTAGGGGAAAAAGAAAGTGTATGTATAAAACCCAAATCTAAGGGGCACTTCCAAGATGATTCAGTGATTCCACCGAGAAATCCTGAAGCCTTTGGCTGTGCTGCAATGCCCTCAGTGGATGTGGACTGCCAACAGCCCTTCTGCAGTTGGGTCCAAGAAAGCCTGAGAATCCATGGAGATTGGTATGATTGACTACTTGGGATTCCAGGAGGTCTTTCCTTGTGGCAGCAGAGAAGAGGATCCCAGTTCCAAGGGCCTGAAGAGCTTTTCATGGTCTTCAGTAGAAGCTGCTTCCCAGCAAGGAAGTCCCTAAGAATTTAGATATTCTGGAGAGCTAGTTCTAGGGGATGAATCTCACACCAACTTCTCACTGCTGCTGGACTGGGAGATGAGAGGATATGGATACATCACAGTGGCCTCTGGTGCAGTTTATTTACAATGGGAATCAGTGCTGGAGAACACCAGGATATTAACAAGCAGGAAACACACTAGGAGGCAAAAAAAGAGAATGGAAGAAAGACTCCAAGTTAGCATCAAGGTATTCTCTGCAAACTCTGCGACAACCTAAATTTAGCTGAAAAGTCGTTAGGTCTTCTCCCTCTCTCCCTGCTTACACATCAACCTACACTATCAAGTTTATCAACCTACACTGTCAATCACACCCTTCTCTCACTGCCTGGCTGGTCACAGGGGCCTGGCTTGCACAGGCCATTTTGGTAAGAAAGCACACGAGATAAGTATGGAATGTCTGCAAAGTGAAACACACAGCTTTACCTGCCTCATCTCACCAGTGTTTCTTGGAGTGTGATGCAAGTTGTTTCCACAACACAGGGCCTTGGTTACTTAATGAAATATTATTTAAGCTAACTCCCATGAAATTTGTCATTTTGCTTTCTGGCAGGCTGTAAAGAAGGAGATCTGCTTTGCTCCTCCCCTCCAAGGAAGGATGTTTCATCAGCACATGTAAATACATGAGACATTTAAAAGGAACACAAACACTGAATGTATTACTGGCTGTGATTCAGAGCTGTTTGTTTATCTGTGGTTTTTAGCACCATGCTAAAATTCCAGCCTCCCACCTCGAGAGCCAAACAGGCAGTGAGAGCAGGACAGTCCCTGTCCTCTGCTCAGGGACACAACTCCGTGGAGCCTTACCACTGGAATCCACCAATGGGTTCTGTAAACCTGTGACGGATCAGGAACGTTGCAACAGCTTCAGCAACCTGAGAGAAGGGGAAAAAAAGCTCAGTATTTAAAGGGACACAAAGAGAAGACAAAACCCAGTCAGTTTTCAAAACCTGCAGTGTTTCCAACAACAGTTTACATCCTCAGGAGTCTGTTGCTGAATCATTTGCTCCTTTTTAAACAAAAGCTCTGTGTAACACACCTCCAGCTTTACTCTGACGCTGAGCCTGCCATCAAGAAGTGACCTAACCTTTTCTCCACCCATTTCAGTAATTCTTAAAGCAATGTCTAAGTTTAGCAGGGAGGAAAGGTAAATTCAGGATGCCAGACAGTAACCTGGAATGGTTTGGGTTGGGAGGAACATTAAAGCTCGTCCAGTTCCGACACCTGCCATGGGCAGGGGCACCTTCCACTAGACCAGGCTGCTCCAGGCCCCATCCAGCCTGGTCAATATTGCTCAGAATGTACAAAAAAAGAGTTACAGAAAGGTTGAGTTTTAACACAGCTGTCAGTGCAGAATGAGCTTTAAAACCAGATGTGCTTCCAACCACAGGCTCCAATGGCTGCACCGCATTCCTGCTTCCATCTGGACACAAACTCCAGCAATGCCCAGAAGCAGCACTGCTCTGTCAAAGCTGCTGCAGGAACATTTGGTTTCTATTTGGAAAATGTGAGCCACCCAACTCAACAAAACACAGACCAACCCCTAAAGCTGCAGCTTAGTGCAAGGGAAGTGGGGAACTGCATGAGGAAAGGAAGGGAGGAGAAATCCACACTCCACATGGGTGGAATTAGGTACATCACCACGAGCCTGAGAGTTAAATCCACAGCCCAGCCCCATGGCATGTAACATCTTAGCCAGGGCTTTCCAGACAGCTAAAAAATCCAAGCTGCTTGTGAAAGCCAGCTGTCGTGCCAAAGGATGCCCCTGAAGTATGATCTCTGCTGCATGGTGAGGAACAGATCCTTTTTTTGCATTTCAGATCGTCGCTTACGTTGTTTCAACCCCACGGTGGGGCTCACCTTGTCCGGAGCGTCTTCATGGACTGCGTGGCCACACTGGGGGAGAACCTGCATCTGGAACTTCCCTGTGGATTGAGAGCACACGGATCTCATGCTCTGCACCAAATGACCTCACTAAATGTAGCTGGAAAAGAGGCCCCTTTGGAAAAGGGAGTGCAGGAAGTCTTGGCAGACTCCACACCATGCACAGCCCGTGTTCTCCAAAGAGAACATGGACCAGCTGCTTAATTCACCTTCTCCAGGTGTAACTAGAACAGGTTCCCAGGAGTTAAAATGAAGCTGAACTTCTCAGAGCTTCTCAGTGCAGGCAAGTGCCAAGAGTTAGAACTCTCACCAGATTTACCTTAAGATAATCTTTATCCTGCTATCCAATACTGCTATCTAGTACTGGTTGCTCTGGAAAGCAGGGATGGGAGAAAAAATCCCAACCCAAACCCCAAAACAGGAATGAGGATGCTTAATCTTGGTCTGTCAGATACACTGGGAGATGGGACAGTTTTGAATGGTCCCAAGTGTTCTAGCTAAGAATATCAGGAATGTAGCTAGAAAGGGAAGAAATGTATTAGAAATCAGCCCTCACAGGCAATCATTCTGATCCAAGAGAAGTGTAGCAGCTCCACTGCTGGGAGCACTGAACTTTAGATTGAACAAAACCCACAGCAACAGCCCTTTGAATTGAACCTTTCCCTCCTCACCTTCCCCACCTTTCCTTGGCCACAGTAGGAGAACACTTTGGGATGGACGAATTCTTTAATGCCCGTTTGTTTGGACATTGACTGTACCCATAGCAACAAGCTGCCATGCAAAAAGAGCATTACAGTAAGGCTGAAGAACAATATTAAATACTTACCTTGCATCTGTCCAATGGTCAGATCTTTATCCAGCCTGTCAACACCTACAATCAAATAAACAAATGTTTTGGAGAACAGCCAGAGAGAGCACAGTTCTCTGAGCCAGGCTTTACTCTGTATTTTAAAAGAGACATTAGATTGAAGACTTCTGACACCCATGACAAGGACATTTCACTGCTGCACCTTGAGAGAGTAAAGTTACAGGAAAGAAGCACAGCCAAAAATTCAAGAGCACAGCCCTCCCTATAACTTACAAGGATATTTACATACTGTATTTGCTATTAAGGTACAAAAAGGGCTTAAAGCTGTATTTGACTTTCACTGGAGAAGTTCAGATCACACCATGATATTTTAGGAGACACAGAGAAGCCCCGGTATTCCCAGGAAACACTGCAGCCCAGTGCTGACCCTGTCCTCTGAAATGCAAGTGTGACATCCCTGAAGTGCACACCAGGACTGGAAGGGACACGTACCAGCTAAAAGCAAAAGCTTTGGAGTCGGACAGCTCAGGAAGAGGTTGGATAAACCCCTGAACCAGCCATCCCAGTACTTTTCTGTTTTGGCCAGTTCGATTCGCCACGTGTACAAATGCTCCTTCTTTGTCTGCAGGGAGGAGAGAGAGCTCTGCATTAGTGATCAGTCAAACAGGAGAAAGAAAACCAGTTCAGGGAGCCACCTGGAAACGCATAAATACATAGATATAAAAAATAAAAAAATACTGGCTCCCTCTGGTGGATTACACACTTCCAGGGATGACCCTCCTTGCTTCTACATCTCTCTCCAAATCAAAGGCCATGAGAAGGGATCAAGAAAGTCAGAAAGAGCTACACCAAGAGGAGAAGAGCCTTCAGGAGAAGACTGCAGGATTCAGGGCAATCAATTTGCTATTTTTTAGTGACACAAATAGCTCACAAATTGTCTGAACATTTGGGCTTGGCTCTCATCCAGTCTTCTCTCCCTGGAGTGGCTCCCTTTCATATCAGAATGATTTGGATAACTGCAGGTGACAGCTCTTGCAGGGCAAGCTGAAAACACAGCAACAAGCTCCCAACCTCTGTGTCATCCTCTTTCTTCCTTTTGTTGACAGAGCCTCCTCCTTCCTCATCCTCGTCCTCCTCCTCCTCTTCCTCAATAATTCCCTCTACTATGGCTTTAGGGCATTCAGGACTGTCAGCCCCTTCGCACCTGTGAAAATAAAGTCAGAAACTGATTCCCTGACAAAAGAAAAAATCCAAACCAAAACACCACCCAGGATTAAATCATGGGTATTCAGCAATTTTGCTTGAAGAAATTTTCATTTTCAAGTGCACTTATGTAGCAAGGATATTGTAAAACAGAAAAAAAGATTTTAAAATAATAAATGAAATAAACCAAAGGCCACCTACTGTTTGACTTGACCGACCATAGAAACTCTGGCAGATTCAAGATTTCTTATCTGTCCACTTTTTACACTAGAGAAAAAAAATCATAAGACAGAAATATTTACAGAAGAGTTTCAAGAACCAGCAGGCCCAGAAACACGAGTTAAAGTCCTCTACAGCTCAGGATTTCCCCAGACCATTCCCAAAGCTCCTGCTCTAGGACTGAACAGAGTGGCTCACTGCAAACTGACGTGAACCTCCCTTTGTCACTGTAGCTGAGAAGAGAAAGAGGGAGAAGTGCCGGTGGGGAAACAGTGAAACAGGGTTAAACCCATGGCAGAGGGCTGGGAGAGGGCCTGTAAACAGCCAAATTATATAAACTTTGTTTCCTTCAGGAGTCAGGCTACAAAGACAAGTGATTCCAGAGACTGAGCCCAAGCTTTACCTCCACTCAATAGCATTCTCGAGCGACTTGAATGTTTTGGGACGACTCCTTAGGAAGTTCTGCATGCTGTTCAAGGCATCCATGGCGGTACCTAAAAGCAAATGGCATTGTCTTCATGGCATCTCATGAAATTATTGCCACATCCTTCTATACAAAACTGGCTGCAACACCCTCACAGAGAGCTGGAGCTCCCCAGTGATCTAATGCTGGTAAGGAAAGTACAGATTAGTATTTCTAGGCCAAAAGTCATATTAGAAAATTACTATTTGAACAGGTAGGATGTTCAGACAGTAAGAGAAAGCAGCAATCATTTATCAGCACCAAGCATTACAGCAAAATCCACCCTCCTCCCCACCAAGAAAGTGTTTCAAAGAAATTAGTGCCACGGTCTAGTTGACAAGGTGATAGGTTTGACTCAGTGATCTCAAAGGTCTTTTCCAACCTAGCTAATCCTCTGATTCTGTGACATTAGCAGGAAAAATGCAAACAGAGAGAGTACACATGGGAAAAGGAAAAGAAAGGAAAGGAAAATGGAAAAGGGAAAAGGGAAAAGGGAAAAGGAAATGGAAAAGGAAATGGAAAAGGAAATGGAAAAGGAAATGGAAAAGGAGGGTTCACGCTGTAAAGACTTTTGTGTGCGCAGGATCTGCTAGGAGGATGGAATGGGTTTAAAGATGGGGCAGACCCTTCTGTACTGGGGTTTGGGGCTGAGAGGAGAGCTGGAGGCAGCAGGCGGCGGAGGGCGGCACGCTCACCTTCCACGACGTCGATCATGCAGAGCCCCAGCAGGCTGGGCAGCAGGTTGGCCACGGCGGTGTGCACGGCGATGGCCCCCCCCATGCTGTGCCCGATCAGCATGATGGGCGGCGGCAGGTCCCCGTAGAGCGCCTCCACCACGTTGCCCACGTCCCTGCGGGCACAAACCGCGTGGCACCTCCGCCAACCCCGCGCCCTCGCGCCCTGCGCACCCGCGGGCTTGGGGCTTGCCTGGGCATCCATGCCATTCCTCCTTCTAGAATCCTCACTTCAAAGATACTAATTTAAAAGATGTTCAAGCAGCCTGGTCTAGTGGAAGGTGTCCCTGCCCATGTGGATGAAATTTACAGTCCCTTCCAGCCCAAATTCTGTGATTCCTTGTAGAAAACATTTTAGGCTGACGCTGGTGGGGATGTTAAATAAAAGGTGAGAAAAAGCTGTCAAATCATCTTGCATGGAAGCACAAACCAAGAAATTCATTGTTCTTAAAAGAAGAAACTGGAATTAGAGAGAGAAAAATAACTGGGCCCTACTGACTGTGGCAAAGATGAACAACACTGAGCATGGGCAAAAAGACTGAGATTCTCTGTGACCAGACAGGCAATGGGCAATTTCCTCACCCTTCCCAAAAGGCCTGTCCTGTTAAACTGAAGCTGTCACTTCTTGACACTTTTCCCAGGATGGGAAAGCTGGCTGGTATGACTCCCAAACCCCAGAACAGCAGCAGAGCTAACAGCTGAAATCTCCTGAAGAGCAGTTTAAAGACACGCCCCGCAACTGGCTTTCCTGACTACAACTATTCAGAGGAACCTAATAACTGAGCAGTATTGAAAATGGAAAACAAGTGAAAAAAATGAACATGTTCACCAGCTTGTTTGCTCTGTTGGAGAAAACTGTTTGAGGATTTGATTTAAAAGAACAGGAACACCAGCTATAATTTAAGGCTTCTATTTAAAAGATACTCAGGACTAAGTTTCAAGCTCATTGCTAAGAAGAGGGGAAGGTTTCAAAACAAAAGGAACTTGGTTTCCCCCCACAGCAGTGCTGCTCCAGATCTAAAATATTCTAATTATTTAATCCAGCATCTCCTCAGGACAATTACACATCAGGATCTGACAAGGCAAAAGCAGCAGGAATAAGGTATACAATGGAAGTCAGAATACATTTCACACATGGCCTCCCCTCAACAAACCAAGTGGATTTGTCCATGGGAAGGTTACAAAATCCTTCATCATTTAGTTGTAGTCACAGCAAAGAGTCTCTTTGTACTAAATATGGGCAGAACATAATGTGCTTAGCAGTGGGTATTTGCTTTTCTTACAGTTTTGTCAAGAGGGGGATGGATTTGCATGCCAAAGCGGGTCATGACAGTTTGCAAAAGCAATTCTATGCTTGAAAATCCTGTGTCTGTGACCCAGACTTCAGGGGTGTTACCAGGCCAAGGTGGGCCTGCCCTGAACACTCTGGGGCTGAGGAAGAGTCAAACTGGTGATTTCAGGCTAAAATACCCCATGGATGTCTAAGGGAAGCATTCCACCCTCCCTTAAGAACTCTTCAGCATGGGGCAGGTTTAAAGTGCTCAGTGTTTAAAAATTCAGGGTACTGGGAGAACAACTCCAGTTCTTGGAATCTGACTCAGCTGGGAGGGACACCATTTCAAACTGTCCAGGAATGGAAGGAAAGGAGGGATAACTATGGGAATCATGTGAAATTAAACTATCTTCCACCTCCTCTGAATGAAGGCTGTGTGCCCTCAAGTAGTTTATTGTTCAGCCAAGGAGAGAAAGGGAGGTTTGTGAAAAGGGAAACAAGCAAGTTTCCTTACTTTGACATAGTCTCTGCAGACAGATCTTCAGGATTCCTTACTTTTGTTTCTCCTGAAAAAAAACCAACCCAAGTTAAGTTCACTTAAGCTGAAAAACTTCAGGGCCCCTCAGGACTTAGAGCAGTGATGGTACAAAGCTTTTAGGCACAGATATGAAGAGCAAGCCTACTGCAATGAACATGAATAATTAAGAAACACAGAATTAACGGGAACATTTGGTACTATGGGTAGGAAACACTGCCCGTAACTGTTCTTTATGAATCTTAAAATGAAAGAACAGTCCTTATTTCTCATGGCAAAGACCACTTAAAGGTTATGGAAATACAAAGAGGGCTTGGTGGAAGGAAGCAGTCCGCCACTGTCTCAAGCAAAAGTTCAGGGGGTCTCAGCTTCTGACAGAAGGCAGTCTTCCATCCCTGCTTCTGAATCAGAATTGGGGCGCCTTAAGGATGTTTTCCTAGTCATCCTGAGAGGAATTCATTGCATCTCCTTTAAAAAATGGGAGCGTGTAACATGCTGATTTGACTCCAGATTTACTTCTTGGACTTACCATGGCCTCGGAGGTCTAAGGCCACAATCCTACACTGGATCCTGTTAATGATTGCAGACTGCAGGGAGAGACAGAAAGAATATTGTTTGCAAAGTGGGATTAGCAACCACAAGCACTCCCTAAAAACCCTTCACAGCCACCAAAATGGCTGAACCTGGACTGGATGAGTGTTACAGAACACAAGCACAAATATTCTGTGAGACTGTCCTTAGTGGTCCAAAGCCCCATCCCTGTGAGCATCCCACTGCTGACAAGGACAGTCCTTCCACTGTGTGTAGGACATGACGTGGGTTTCCTGGGATCACAAACTCAAGCCCTGCAGCACCTCTGAGAACTGGAACAGCAGTGGGATTAGGGACACCAAAGGGATTCATTCTCTTGCTTTGCAAGCCTCACATGGTACCAAATTACTCTTGGCTCCGTGGCTGACAGAGGTCATGCAGCTGCTTTGAGTACAGGTTCAGTTTGCTCCCAAACAATAGAATTTTACAGGTTGAAATGCATGAAAATTGATTAGTCCAAAGAGGTCAGGGGAAACAGCTGAGGAATCTTTTTAAGGTAAGGCAGAGCATGATAGTTACAACACAATAAGGGCTCAATTTCTCCCAGACAGATCAATTTAACTAACTTATTTCAGGCATCACAGAGAAGTGGCATGTTTGGTTGACAGGAAGACTTCTATGTTAAGGAATCATTGATCATTTAAATAACAGCCCAGCAGAGTGTAGGAATTTTCTGAGGGATTCTTAATAAAACCACCTACACAACTGGCAAAAGCTACCCAGACCTCAAAGCTACCCAGTCCTCTTACTTTGATTTTTCAGCTATTCACTTCTTAAATGACTGGAGCAGTTAGCTGTTTTCCCCAAACCCACTGAATCCCCAGATCAGCATTTTCCAGCCCCTGAAAACAGCCCAAACCCTCCTTCTGCAGGGTGCCTCTGCACCTAAGTGAGAACCCCAGCCACGCAAAGATAATGTTATTATCTTTAAAATACTGTTTTCCCGTGTTTCCCAGAGGTGAATGGGTAACTGCCTTCCACACTCAGAGAGCTCCATCTCCACACGTTTCTTGCTACAGAGCAGCAGCTTTACTCACAGTGAACACGGCCCAGGACAGAGCAGAGTGGCCTCCACCATGTAACAGCAGCAAGACAGGCCCCTCCATGCCACTTTTGTAAATTCGAAAAGTGTATGAACAGTTAAGGACATTCCACACAGTTACTTCAAGGCAGTAGAATGGATTTTGGAGCTTGTAATACCAAACAGTACTTTATTTCTTCCATTCATTTATCTGACCAACAGGAATTTTCAAGCATTACCTGGACAAAAATGTAAGTCAATTTAAGCTTCAAGAGTTGTTGTATTCCTGCTGCCCAGGTTTTCTTCCCCCGCCCTATAATTCACTCATCCCTTGTCCTTTTCTCCCTGGGAAGTGAACTAAAAGAAAACTAGAGATCCATTAGGAAAAAAGATAGAGAGTTATTTTTTACATGGACAAAATAATGAGAGGGCAAGGAAATCATTTTAAATGAGAAGAGGGGAGATTTAGATTAAATGTTCATAAGAAATTCCTCCCTGTGAGGGTGGTGAGGCCCTGGCACAGGTGCCCAGAGAAGCTGTGGCTGCCCCTGGATCCCTGGCAGTGCCCAAGGCCAGGCTGGATGGGGCTGGGAGCAGCCTGGGACTGTGGGAGGTGTCCCTGGCCATGGCAGGGGTGGCACTGGATGGGCTTTGAGGTCCCTTCCCACCCACACCATGCTCTGGTGACTCCATGATTCATGATGGGCACCTTGTCCACATTTGATGAAGGGCTGTGCACTCCCCCAGAGGTTTAATATAAAATAAAAAGTGTGATAGACCTGTTTGGATAGGTTGTGTATAGAAGCATCCCAAATTCAAGCAAATCTTAGCTGTTTAGGATTTATTGTGCTCCCTTCAGCATAAGCTTGAGATCCCGTGTGAAAGACTGTGGACAGATGTGACCTGTGGAAGCAGCTGAAGGAATGACTGGGTTGGTGCCCACTGCTCTGCCCCAGGGCCCAGGTTACAGCTCCAGCACATCCCCTGTGTGCACAGACCCCAGCTGATGAAGCCACTTCTCTTGGGTGTTGGTCACAGTGTCAGGCACTGAGCACAGACCCCACACCTCCCCGTGTGTTTGGAGAGAAGTAACCTGGAAGCTTGCTTTTCCTAATGGCATTCCTGTCTTGGAGAGGAAACATCTGCAGAAAAACCTCTGGCTGGCACTGCCAGAAGACACTGATGGCACCACAACCTCTGCCTTGGGCAGAAATTTGGAAGTATTTATTCACATCCTCATGTTTCTGTCAAGGTTTATCTGTTGTACTGCTGCCACCAAACTAACTGTGGTTAATAAAAATCAACAGCTTTGGGCCTGACGTGGTTTCAATTATGAGAACTTGATGAGTGTTTCCCTGCAAAATATGCTACTGGACTGTTGGAAAAACTTTTACAAAATTAATGATTATTAAATAAGGAATATCAGGAATTGGCCTTGCTAGGTACAGTTTAACTGTCAGCCTGGAAGGGATAGTTCTATTTACTGACACTGAACCCTGCAGGAGGCATAATGGAAGATGAGAAGGAACACACAAAAAAACTGAAGAACCCAAATAAACTAAACAAAATGTGATACCTCCCCAATCTCTGAGATTATGACAAATTCAATATGGGGGGAAAAAAGGATATATCCTTGCCAGTGTCATTTTCTACCACAACGTCCTCCATAGACTCAAAGTACTGGCTCCAAAGCACTGGTGAAAAATCACGCTTTCTTCCAGGGCTGCAAGACAGAAAAGATCCCATAGGAAAGAGTTATTTTTAAAGTCTTCCACTGAAATTGGCATCCAGGCCTGCTCTCACTGAAGAGAACATGCTGGTGTTACACAACAGTTCAGACTGGAAGCAAACGGCGCATCAGTGAATTCCCATACAACCACAATATTCAGAATTTTACTGTCAGTGAAGGAATCCTCCCCTTTTTCCCCTCCCTAATAGTTGCTCCTATTGAGGAAATGTAGCAGAAACAGAGAAAAGAGTACTTTCCTCATCAAGTAATTCCAAGGAAGACTGAACAATGGTGATTTAGTCTACACAGACCCAAGCCAAGGGAAAATAAACAGAATAGTGATACTGTCCCAGTACCACCTCTGAGTTTGCAATGACCCACAGACAAAAGGTGCCCAGCTGACAAACCAATTTATTTTCTGCTTCCTTCAAAAGGTGCAGCTGTGTCCTCTCCTTGTACCCCCCTTACTGACAAAAGGCTCTGCAATCAGAATTTTCCTGATGACTCAGTTGATGCAGAATTTGTTTCTCGGGCTGGTATTTACTCAGTAAGGCTAAAAGAGTAGTGCTTAATTTTGGAAGTGGCATAATTAGGCTCAATTCGAGCCCAGGATACAGGATGAGTAACAGTGCACCATTTTAACCATGTTTTTGCACTTCAGCTCTTCTGGGGGAGGCAGGCAGGCAGCACAGAATATTAAAATCAAGCATGGGCGTGAGGGGTGAAAGACCTTCAGAGCAGAAAAATCCCTGCTGAAGAAGTTTCTCCTGAATTCTTGGCTTCCTAAAGAAATAGAAAATTACAGACAAAGCAGCTTTTCAATTTTGTAGAAACAAAATTTCTGTTTCCCCTGGTGTTTGTAGGATATGAGACATAAACCAGCCACCCCCTGAATGGACCAAATTCCCTCCTGTGGGTTTCCAGACTTCTTGTCAAATCTCAATTAAATAAAATGAGAAGTCACACACCTACATAAATCCAGAAAATATTAATCTCTTTTACCGCCTCAGCCTAATCTCATTCTCTGATCAAGGAAAAAAATACCACATTCAAAGCTTAATTTTTCCCTGGAAGCCATCCCAGCCCTGATCACATGCTCTCTCCATACCAATTCTGGTTCTTTCTGGAGATGGAGAGAACTGCCCACAGCTTGGATGATTTCCCTTCTCTCGGTTCTGAATAGGTAGGATGTGCAGCTAGTGAAAATAAATTCCATCACCCTTCAAAACGCAGCATTTCAGCTGCAGCCAGACTTTGCACAGCATGTTACAGCTGCTTTTGGGTTCCGCTGCCCTCAGCAGCTCCAGGTGATCAGTAAATGTTGTCACTGCCTGGCCACAGCCCTTCCCAGCTGATCCGTAAGTCTGGGGGACAGCAGGACTCCCTGGCACTGCTGTGACCCCAGGAGTCTGGGGGGAATGTGACTGATGGTGGCTCGCTGCATGGAGAGCCCTGGCTGTGTGCCCAGTGAGCCTGTTTCTGTGGCAGCAGGGCTGCAGGATGGACAGCCCCTGTCACACACGGAGCACAGCAGCCTCTTGGGGGTGCCAAAAAATCACCTTTCACCAGCCCAGGCCTCTCCAGCCTGGTCCTGGACACTTGCAGGGATGAGTACTTCTGGGTCTCCTTCAAAAGCCATTTCTGACAGCAGGATTTTCATGCAAGAGGCAGGCAGGTGCAAATACCAAGGCAGATCCATGGAGAGAATCCCATGACCTGCAAGAGGAGCCCATGGCACCAAGGCAGAGCCCTTCCCTAGGGCCTTGCCACACTGATGCATTTAAGCAATGCCTCCAACTCAGCTTAACAAGAGTGAACACCTCCAGAGAAAATGTTAGTGTCACACGTGAAGTATCTGGGAAAAACATACAGCAGAACTCCTGTGCTGCCAAGGGAATTGGAGCAGAAAGTGAAGAGGAGATGGGAATTAAAAACTGTCATCACCTCTGATGCAAACACGTGTTGATCATGATTTAAAACAAAATACTTGCATGCAAGCAATGCTGAGGAAACGTGAGTGACCTCAGGTTTAACACTGAACCCCCTAAAGGGCAGAATAAATGTGCAGTTTTCCACAAAATCCCAGGTGACCACAGAGGGTTGAACAAAAACATTTCTCCAAAGAAAATAATCTTTGGAGATTTTCTAGAGCTGCATTTTTTAGTGAAGCATCAACACACATTCAAAATTAGAATGTGCCCAATAAAGAGCAGCTGTGGTTTTGCACCTTCCTATGCTGAAGTCATATTTGCTGACCAATATTTAAGGTGACAGAACTAATTACAGGTTTTTAAAGCATCCAGCAAACCAAAACAGAAATGGATCTGACATAATAACTTTTCTAGACTGATCCTTAAACTCCAAGCCAGCCAGCCAGCCAGCATATTAAACTGGAATTACAAAACAAATTCTGGGCACCCTCTGTTTTATCCTATTGTGCAGTGTGTTCTCTTTATCATGTCCTCAATCCTTAGGATGCCCACATGGCTCAGCAAATCTCTCCCCAATTTTTGAAGGGGTTTTCTTTCAGGTATTTTCCTAAAATGAAAAACAAAAACAAAAAAAAGGTTGCACCAAGCAGAAGGAACCATTTTCAGAAAGTCCTTTTTCTGCTGAGAGCCCCTATTTAAAACTACTCAAGTAAATATAGAACAAGTGCATGATTCAGGAGATTTCATTCTCACATCATATTTGAACCCAAGCAAATCAAACATCATCTACAAGTAAGAACTGCCACGGCTGACAAGTTGTATTTAGAAATTCTAAAAATTGACAAGGACAGTATCTTAAGTTCTGCCTTAGAGATGCTGAATACATAAAATGTTGTTTTTTTTTTTTATTAAAAGGATTCCAAGGAGGAAAAGTGGATTAAAAAGGAAAAAAATGAGTAGGAATTGCCATGATTGAATTACACAGATCTGATCCAATCATGCCCTTCTAGATAATTAAAAGATCCTCAGAGATTGTACGTGATTTTTACTCACACATTGGGAAGGAGCAGCAAACTGACTTTCACTTTTAAAGCCCATCCAGGTGCCTAACTCTGAATGAGCCACTAGCAAAAACCAAAAGGCAAAAAACAAGACGGGAAATGCAGAAGCTGCTCCAGCTGCTGGGATCTGCTGCCGTGGGGGTGACTTTACAAATTCTGTTATCTTATTTCCCCACAGAACACAGAATCGGGCCATAAGCCTGATTTTGTTTTGCTTTGTGATTTTGATGTTGTTTTTGGTTTTCATCCAGCAATTCAAAGGAATCACTTGCAATTCCCAACACAGCCTTGGCCATGAGTGCTCCTTAAAGAAATGGACACGGAATTCCTCCCAGAGGCTGAGTTTCACATATTGCTCGAGCCAAAGAGGAGCTCCAGCCTCCTTTGGAAAGGGCCTTTTGGAACCATCATTTCTGCTGGAGAGCACTTAAATCCAGGGAGCAGAGGACTGTGCTAGCAAAGCAGGAATCCATGCCACGTGCCATGAAATACACTGAAATTCCAGCACGCATCCCATGCTCCCACAAGACCCACTCCAAACTGTGCCACAGGAGCCACGCTGGGTATCAGGGAGAATTCCTTCCCCAAAAGGGCTGCCCAGCCCTGGCACAGGTGAGTCCCCACCCTGCAGGGACTGAAAGCTGTGTGGATGTGGCACTAGGGGACGTGGGACAGTGGTGGCGGCCATGGCAGCGGCGGGGGAAAGGTTGGACTCCAAGATCTTGGAGGGCTTTTCCAACCTGAACAATTCCAGGATTCAATTTGCTTCGGCCAGTTTGGCTTCTCAAATGAGACTCTCCCACAGAGAGACATAAGGAAGTGATTGTACTGAAAAAATAGCAAGGAAAGAATAAATTTTAAAGAAAAAGCTAGGAACAAGTTTATTTTCACACATTTAAATGCAGCAACAGGTGCCATTGTTTTATGAACTACTGAAACACACATTAACCTTTTAACAGCATATTGCCAAAAAATGTAAGACTTTATTTCAGTTAAGAAGTTCTCAGTAAATTCTATTTTTCTGTAGCAATCTCACATGCTTGACCCTCTGCTTCTCAAGATCTGCTTTCAGCTACACCACAGTCACATTAAGATGACCTGCATGGTGGGAAAAAAAGGGAATAAAAAGAAAGTGCCCAACACACCAGTCAGAGGATTTAGCCATGGAAAACTCAGGTTGCTGGCATTCTTGGATATTAAGGTTAAACCTATTTTTTTAAAAGCCTGGCTTGCAATTCAAGAAATTGAAAGCGCAGAAATAAATCACATTTACAAATGCGAGATGCTTGATGCAGCAAATAAATATTTTCCTAAGTTTTAGTTATTTTTGTTCCCTGTAGAAGTCTGAATTTTGAAGGACTATTTCAGTGCAGCCCTGTACACCTGCCAGCACTGTAAATCACACTGTGCTTTCCCTGTACAACTAATCCCATTCTCTTCTGGTGGAATTCTCCTCAAGGGGAGTCTTGCACTTGTTAGAACAGCACTGCACTTTGGTAAGGGTAAGCTCAGCTTAAGCTAAACTTTCTGTCCCACTTGCTCTTGTCCCCGAGCCCCTCCGGACGAGGCCATTCCATGCTGGATGTGCAGCGCCTCCCACAACAGGAACATCACCTGTGAAGGGATTTACTGCGTGCCAGAGCAGCAAATCAAACCACATCATGATTATGAACTACTCCCCTCTGCTTCCAAGGGAAGATTCCAGGGGAGTTCTTGATCCTTAACCTGAATTTTGTTTCATTCACAGTAATTTCCCTGACAGCGTTTAAAACCCCTCCAGTACATGGTAAGAGAGGAAGAATTATATAAATTAATACATTTTACACCCTTAGACACGGACCAAACTTCTCCCACAGCTCCCAAAATGTGCTCTCAACGCCTGCTTAGGAGATTAAAGAGTATCCCAGACTTTTCCATCATCCTGAAATGCAGATTTAAGCAGGGATTAAAGTCACTTGGCGGAGCACACCTCCTTCACATGGGTGCCTGCGGCTGAGAAATCCCATTTCACAGAATCATGGAATATTCTGATGTGGAAAGGGACCCTCCACAAGGATTATCAAAGTCCAGCTCCAGCTTAGGAATGCAGCTCCTGAGAATTCCCACACACCTCTCCCCCCAGCCACACTTGCAGGTACCACCCAGACATGGTGCTGGGCCCTTCCTCCAAACAGTGATGGCAAAGGGCTGGGAGAAAAGGGCTGGAGAGCTGATCCCAGCACCTGCCACCTTCCCCCAGCCTGAGCATATGCCGGGCACTGATTCCTCTGCGGCTGGAGAAGCCCGATCCAGGTGCCACTCTCCTGGAGCGCGGGGAAGCAGGACCACCCCTCCCTCCAGATCCCCCAGGAATGACCATTCCCTGCCCAGATCCCCCAGTAGTGACCATTCCCTGTCCAGATCCCCCAGGACTGACCATTCTCTGTCCAGATCTCCCGACGTGACCATTCCCTGTCCCGATCCCTCAGGACGAGCTCCCCCCTGTCCAGATCTCCCGACAATGACCATTCCCTGTCCCGATCCCCAGTAGTGACCATTCCCTGTCCAGATCTCCCGACAATGACCATTCCCTGTCCCGATCCCCAGTAGTGACCATTCCCTGTCCCGATCCCCCAGGACGAGCTCCCCGCTGTCCAGATCTCCCGACAATTCCCATTCCCTCCGTCCAGACCCGGAATAACGCGCCTCCCTTCCTCGCAGACCCCCCCAGTACAGACCCCCGGTCCCTCAGACCCCGGCAGAGCCCCCGCCCTGCGGAGCCCCGCTCCGCCGTAGCCTCTCCCCCAAATTCCCCCGGTCTCCGCATCCGCCCCTGCCCTTCCTCCGCCTACCCCATGCGCATCTTGGACCCGGACTGGCCGCCGCCGCCGGGCAGCGGGGGCCGCGGCGGGAGGCGGCCCAGATGCAGCTGCTTCTCCAGGGCCGACATGACAGCTAGGGACGCGCCGGGAACACCGGGATCACCGGGAACACCGGGAGCCCCGAGCCGCCCCCGCGCGGGCACCACCTGCGCCCGCTTCGCCGTGCGCTGCGGGCCCCGGCAGCTCAGCGCCTACCTGGCAGGTAGGGAGAGCCGGAACCGGGCTGGGAACGGGTGGGACGGGGACAGACTGCCGCCGGGCACAGGTGATGGGGAGCGGGCTGCCCTGGGGTTACCCTCCCAGCAGTGTAAGCCCTTCCCCTTGGTCCTGTTCTGGGAATCCTGGGCTTACTCGTCATCATTTACTGCCAGGGATAATGGATGTATTCGCGCGTCTCCCCGTTATCGCAATGTCCTTGTGGGATATAACGTCAGTCTCTGGCATTTCTGTCATTTTAGCCAAAAAGTGTCACTCGTGAGCGTGAGGCTGACCCGAAGGTGTTCCTGGTTTTTGCAGATATGGGCGTTCTTGTCCTGGAGGTCCTAACCAAACGAGACCACCTGCTCCTCGGCAGGGCACGGATCACTGAACTGTCCCAGCTCTCCCCCAGCCATCCCATCAAAGGTTCTTTTGCTGTGCTGTCACCAACATCGGATAAACTCGGGGAGCTGCAGGTAGCCTTCGTGTCTTTGCTCATTATTACATGATATTAATATAAATTATGTGCTGTGACACTGGCACAGTCAGGTGCAGGATGAAGCTGTGCATGGCACACTGCAGGCCTGCTCTGTGTCCAAGACATTTCTGAGCTAAGGTAAGAAATTAAAAAAAACCCAAATACTGGCAGTCTTTGCTTTATTTTGTTTAGAGGGATGTGGGGGAGTTGAGCTTAATGAGGAGCATGTGGTCACCTCTACACTGACAGTGAGTATTAACTGTGGATTTAAAATGGATATTTGGCTCTTACACTTCACTGGGCTAGAGTAAGAGAAGATTTTAACATCTGGAATTAAGAAAGTCCTGTCTTGCAGCCCTGGCTCTGCATATCTGATTAAGAAAGGCAGTTGGCTGGATTTGAAATGTGGAACGAGAAACAAGTAGTTGTAAATATGTGGCATAGCTGTGTGATGTAAATATTACTTTATGTAGAAAAGCAGCAGTTCTCCATTGCACAACAGGTGAAGGTGAATGCAGCGTTTACTGCACTTAGATAGGAAAAGACAAAGCAATATTTCCACATCCTGTCTTCCAGGTGTCACTGGTTCTAGAGCCTCTGCCAGAGCTGTATGGCACCAGCAGCTGCGTGCCAGCCACGCAAGGAGGTTCAGATGCTGCTGCTGCCCAGGGAAGCAGCAAGTCCCAGCTTCCTGCTCCATCCCAGCAGCCCAGGCACCCCCGGGTGGCTGCTGAACAGGAATTTGTTGACAACAGCAAAGCCACATCTCCTAGGTACCCTTTTTCTTTTTTCCTCATGACAAAGCTGTGGTTTATTTTGCAGTTCGCACAGAATTTTTAAGCAGTGTCAGTACACTTGTGAGTTATGGGACGCTTGATCTTTTCAAACATGCATTTTATATGAAATCCAGGATGTTGAGGGTTTCCAAGGTGACAGGGACAATTTCTTGTCTGTCAGAAATTTGCTTCTTAGGTTGACTTAGTTCAAGTCAAGCAAGTTCACACAAGAGGTGCCTCAAACCATGGAATCACCAAATAATCTGGGTTGGAAGGGATCTTAAGGCTCATCTCATTTCATCCCTGCTGCCAGAACACCTTCCACTATCCCAGGCTGCTCCAAGCCCCATCCAGCCTGGCCTTGGACATGCCAGACAGGCAGCCACAGCTTCTCTGGGTAACCTGTGCCAGAGTTTCACCATGCTCCAGCAAAGAGCTTTCTCCTGATATCTAATGTGAACCTACCCTCTGGCAGTGGGGAGCTGTTCACCCTTGTCCTGTCACAACGTGCTCTTATGAAAAAGATCTTTTAAAAAGCCTTTTTTAAAAAAAATATTTTACTTGCAGCTTGGGTGGGTCTCTCTGATGGTCTCAGTGGCAGATGAGGAATCATTAGAATAACATGTCATGTTTCCTTTTGGAGAATTTGCAGAGTTCTGAATCCCTTTACCCACGCCCTGGAGTTGTCACCGAAATACAGTTTCATTTTTCCCTAGAGGAAAGGACCAAGAGAACTCTGAGAACGTGAAGAACACCTTTCCTGCTCCTCGTGCCCGTGTGATTTCTCCGGAGGAGCATGTGGAGATGAGCCCTGAGAATCAGCTCCTGTCCTTCCCCAGCAGCGCCGATCCCACAGCGCTTCCCGGGGGGAGCACACGGCTGCTCTCCATGCACAGCCCGGCTGCAAGGGACCTGCTGGCAGGTTGGTGTGCAGCTCTCCACTTTTGGACTTCGCTGCAAACAGCTCTCGATGGTATTTCGTCTGCCTGTCTGGTTTTCTGAGTGTCTGTCAGGTTTTCTGAAGGGAAAGAGAGGCTTTGCACCCTTTTGCTGCATTATTCCAAAAAGGCCTTCCCTTCAAATCCACTCTTGCCTGGGCTGGATTGGAATCAGCATTGGAGTAGGGCACGTTTCCATATGTGCTGTCTTTTGAGTTCCATATTTACAGAAAAGAGCAAAAATCGGACATCCTGAAGTGGCAAATTGCTCTTCCCTAAATTAGTCCTGCTCCTGTATCCCAATAATGCCCTTCAGTACCTGACCTTGTGTGTGCACAAATTCCTTGTGCAGTGGGAGACTGATGGAGGATCACCCTCCCTCACTCCCAGCTCAGCTGTTTTCTGGTGTATAAAACATATCTGATCCCCAGCGCACCAAGATCTCTTTTTAACAGCAGAAAATAAGTTTCTTGACTGTAGCTCACACATTGACTGTGTCTACACATGGCTTTTAAAATGCACTTGAATGCTGAAATGAAATCCTTGTGCTTCTTTCCCAGCTCTCTTGGATCAAGGCAGTAAACTCCGTGATGCCATGGTTGTTTCTGCAATGAAGTCCAGCCCAGACATGGAGATTGAACTGAATAAAATGTCTCATTTCATAGAGACAGACAATTTTAAAATACCAGCAAAGTGAGTTTGGATTGGGGGAAGTGAGATTCAAGCTCCAGACCATAAATTTTGAGGGTTTATCCAGAAAACTGTAGAGATAGTGAGATACATAGGATGTGGTTTTGGGTGAAGTAGCACATCATTCAAATGGGAAGTTAATTTCTACTTCTGAATAAATGCCTACTTTTTGTGAATTCATTTTAATCTTCATGTAGTAAGCCTTGATATAAATATTTGATTTTAATTTAATTTCTTAGTGTATTTGTATTTAGTTAGAAGTCATTTGTCAAGGAAATATTACATTCTGGTGGGGAATAAGAGTAGTGCAATACAGTGCAATTGAAATGGCACTGCATCACAAGGAACAGTTTTTCAGAGAAGTGTAAGTAATTGATGACCTAAATGCATGGTGTTTTCTTAGGAGAAAAAAAAAATAGATTTCTTGGTTTTCCTCTGGAAAAATGTGAATATTGCCTGTTGTTCTGTGATAACCAGAAAGCAATGTCATTGTCTTTGACAGTCAGTGATGCTATTGCAAATTCAATTTCATTTCTTTCTGCACAAACTGTTTGTGTTAAAGTAGATTATTTTGGACTTCACAGAAAAAAAACTGGTAAAGTGATTAATGGATTCATCTTGAGCATGCCTTAATGTCTTTATTTTTCCATTTTCTGCTGTCTGTGCTTCCACTGCTGTTACCCAGGAGCCCAAGAGGCTTGAAGTCCAGTTTTGTGCCCACTCCTGAGGATCCCCATCACTTTGGATCTGAAGTTTCAGGTCAGCACTTTGACCTAAACTCTGAAGAAAGAGCAATCCAGTTACTGATGGGCAGGTGAGTGTGATTCACTGGAGGCTTCTGCAAAATGGTCCTTGTCTGACCATTTTGAAAAGTGTCTCTTGACCCTTCAGGTTGTCCAGATTTTTGGGAATGTAACCAGTGACTCGTGTGCAAGTGATGGAGGTGTTTTATAGCTCTGCTTTAATGCATGGCAACCTGGATAGCTCCAGGTCACTTGGTGTGAAAGTGGTGTCAGAAAGATTAACCACAATTTTTCATAAAACAAATACCTTGTTTATTGGGAGAAGAAACACTGTAAATTAAAACTAATGAGAAACTATAGCTATTTTTAATCTTTCTCCAGACATTAAATGCACCTTTTCCTCTCATTTTGCGTAGCAGGAGCATAAATGGTGCTTCCATTGTGTCCACATCTGCACCCTGAACACACAGCTTCTGGGTCAGATATGGTTCGGAATTTATGATTGATGTTTCTTGTGCCCCGCACTTATTTTTTCACTGTGGTTTATCACACAGTGATTACCTGCACTGTAGTGTTGCAGATCATAAAATGATTTTAAACTCACAGCACAGAGGAAAACCTTAAACCAAACTAACCCCAGGTTGTCCCCAGGTGACCCTGCAGGCTGGCTCACAGACGTGCTCTGTGAGCACAGTTTGCCCCTGGCTGGAGCCAGCGTGGCCCCAATCCAGGATAAAACTGGCACCACTGTCCACGTGCCTTGGAGACTGACTGCAGAACATGGAACACTGAGGTGTGCTTCTTTCTCCTGTATCCACAGTGCTGATTTCTCCCCGGGGCACTTCTGGGATCGGACAGGCTCCCTGTGGGATTCTCTCTCCCTTGGCAGCGAGGTGTATGACAGTGAACTCGGTGATCCCCACTACGACCAGAGTCTGCTGGAGAAGCTTTTTTACACAGCTCCTGTAAGTGGAGATCCAAAGGGAAATGTGCACTCCCTCATGTGCAGAGCAATGGAGGCTTGCATGATCAGGAAAATGACAGATTGCAGTAATTTAGAGCTGAATAAGAATTAAGTATCATACAAATGCTTGTGAGTACATGTGCACATTGCTTAAAATTAGTATTATTAAAAGACTATTGTTAAGACTACAAAGTCAAGCATTGAGTTTGGAAATTGCTGCGATTGAGGCTGTCCAGGGAGATTTTCTGTTTTTAAAATCCCTGAAATTTTGATACCATTTTAATTGTTTCAGTTGATGCAATGCACAAGTTGTTTTCCATTTATGTATTGTGACCATTATGGAACTCTCTGTACAATGACAATTAACTTCTTATTTATGTACATTCTTTCTGCTTTAGAAATCTGATTCCAGTTTGAGTGATTTCCTCAGCGATGATGATGTTAAGTCCTCAAAAAAAGCATCCAAGACAGAAACTCTCAAAAAAGTGGCTCCAGTGAATCCACAGAAGGAATTTCATGCCTTTGATCAGAATGTGACAGAAACTAAGCCCAGGTAGTTACATCAGTGACTTTTGTTTTGACCTCATCTAAACTGCATTCCCTTTTTTTTGTATGGAACCAATAAAAGTGTCCCTAAAGATCCAATTATCAAGCCTATCTTATACAATACAGTTAATGTAAAGGTTTTGTGACTATTTTTTTTCCATTTTAGCTCCAAAAAATTATTTCTGATTATTTTTCTGACTAACGCTGCTGTTCTTACATCAGGTAAAATTCATACCCCCAGAGGAACCAACACAAAATCATAAAGCATTTGCAATTCAAGTCTTGCAAATTACACAAATGAGATTTAAAACTATGGCAAAAATCCTGTTGCTGTTCCTCTGCAGCAGAGGCTTGTCTTGTGTATAACTGTATGATCTCCCTGCTTTTGTACATGGCATTAAATGAAGCTTTTCTTTTTGAAGAATCAGGAAAAGATTTTTTTCAGATCAGAATGTGGAACATGCACTTTCAGAGTTTTTTTTTTTCTGCAGTTATGGACCTCAGATATTGTGAGATTTTTGTTACAGAGAATTATAGAGACCACCAAATTTGTTGTAAAAATATGTTTTAAATGTGTATTTTAGTGAACATTGGGCAGTTTTTAAGTAACATCCCACCTAGCTACAATTCTCCCTTTATGTGGTCATGACAAGAATGTTTCTGCAGTCCTGATCCTCAGTTCTGTGTCTCCAGCTGCTCTCCCACTGCTCCTCCAGAAGACCACAGGGGAATGTCTCTTCTCACATCCTTGGGTGCAGACAGGTTGGCATTGCTGCAGCGAGTACACCTCGCCAGAGTCACCATAGAAAGCCTGAAAATCCCTCCTGAGAGCATCCAGATCTCCCCCAGGAGGAAAGGTTTGCTGGGGAAGCCTCCACGGCCCATGTCTGTTCATAAGTGGTAAGGGGGATTGTTTCTTCCTGGTTTGTGTGCTGTGCCTTCAGGGGAGGTTTCCCTGAGCTCCCCTGTGTAATGCAGCTTCCCCAGGCTCTCCAGGCTTCTGTTCCTTGAGGGAATTGTATCCCATGGACTTGGGAAAGGTAGAGATGTGACTGATTTATCCTGATGTGGGCTCACTTCATTCAGGCTGTGCCTTTCCCAGGGTTTTGGGGAGCTGCAGATGTATTTTGTGCCTGGCAGTACACTGAAAACAAAAGGGGGTTTATTGGAGGAGAATTTGGCACATAGATAATCTATGGAAGGAATTCATAGAATAGGTGTTTCAATTATCCTAAAAAAGTGTTACAGTCAGCTGTGAATCTGGAACTTGCCTGCTGTGTTCAGTTTCATGACTCGCATCAGATTCTTGATGGATTGTGGTCACCCTTCCACTATTTTATTCTCAGCACCTTCTTTGTGGAGTACCACTTCCCTGTGAGGGTCTCAAAGGATGAAAAAGGACAGGTCTCCATAGCAACAGAAGCAATTCGAGTAGCCTCCAGTAAAATCACAGATGATGGTAAGAGCATCATTTTTCCCCCTTAGATTTAGTTTTCTTGACTCCATCTCTTAGAAATTATTTAGCAGTGTGGTCCTCATGTTTCCTTTGCTGCCTGAAAATCACAGTGTGATTAGTGGGACCTCTAACCCCAGACTTACCATGCAATGATCCTCTCAGGGAGCAGGAAGTGATTTTTTAAATTATTTTTTCTTCCAAGAGGAATTAATACTGGGATTCTCAAATTTATTTTCCTAAGGAAAGGACAAGTTAGTAAGCCCATTCCTTCATTTGAACATAATGCCAATATTCTTTCTGCAATAGTGGGAGAATGATCAAGTGCTTTTAGAAATATCAGAGATACTTATAGCCCAAATAAATAATTCCCCAGATATGGAAGTATGTCATGTGGTATCTCCAACAGCTCACATAATCTGCTGGATCCAGGGAATCTCCAGTCCTGTGCTCAAATCAGGAGACATTAATCTTTGTACTGAGAGTCACCAGTGTTTGTATCCCCGAGAACAATTTCTGTTTCTGTTTCCACTGAGCAGAGAATGCTGGATGAGCAAGATTCTCTCTGCCCAGTCTTCCCAGAAACTGGAATGCCAGGGTGACTTTCAAATGCCTCTCCCATGTGGTCATTCATTGGAGTTGAATCGTTCTGATTGGCACTTGAGAGATTTTGAGTTCTCTTGGACATGCATGACAGAATGGCAGAGACTTGGTGTCATCTGAAATATTTAAATACTGTTATAATGTTTGCTTATATTAATGTATTTAATAATTTATTATTTTATTAATTATGAATTAATAATCTTAATTTTGTCCTGCTGGCCTCCTGCTATTTGCTGGCCTTCAAAAATGAAAACCAGTTTATTTTGGCCTTGGTGTTAATAAACAATGCAGTTTTAAATGATTGTGTGTGCAACAGAGCACTGTACAGGGGAAAGTTTCTTTATGTCAGGTAATTTTGGATATTTGTTGCTCCTCTCTTCCTTCCAGTGGTGAAGTTCCAGCAGCAGTCTGTGTTCCCTGTGTGGTTTGGGGGAAGGATGATGGAGCACTGGTGGGGCTCTGACCTGGCTTTTAAAATCTACAAGAGAAAAAGCACACAGAAAAAGGTATTTACTACAAGTTGTTCCTTCTTTGTGTATTGAAAAGCAAAGGAATTCTTTGCATTTCCACTTCCCAAGGCACTCAGTGCAGACAGTCAGATATTAGGAGGGAAAATGACATTACACTGATTGCTGTTCAGTCTGATACTCTAATCCCAGAGTATTCTGAGGGACCCACAGCATCAGCCAGCCCAGCCCTGGCACTGCACAGACACCCCAGCAGTCCCACCCTGTGCATCCCTGGGAGTGCTGCCCAAACACTTCTGGAGCTCTGGCAGCCTCAGGGCCAGGGCCATTCACTCTTCCAGGCTTGTCCCTCCTGTCACTTCATTAAAGGCTTTTCTGACATTGAGACTGGCAAGCAAAAAGAATTGTACTTCCCTCATCTCTAAGACTGATCTCTTGTTGTTTAAGCACATTGGATCAGTTGTAAACGTTATCCTTCAATGAGAACACATCTCCTTTAGCAGTGTAGGATGAGTTCACGTGGGTGCAGTTTATATCTGCACCCTGCCCAGTGTAAGGGACGTCATGTGAGTTGTGAAAAACAGCTGCAACTTGTGCATTTTTGGGGGGAAAAGGTATATTTCTATCTGATAAGATTATTTGCTTAACCATCTGCCTGTGATGAGGAGGGTGAGAGGGGTTAACTCAGCTTATGTTATTTTAATCAACACCAAGGATATCTGCTTTTCTTTTAAGGAGGGAGTAAATTGCATCTTTCAGTATGGGAATTTACTAGGATTTCAGTACTCATTTACTAGGATTTAGGTGATTCAATTTTTGCATTAATCTGGAATTTTTTACAGTAGGTTCCAGGAAAATTTGTCTTACTGTTCTAGTGAGACTTGAAATTGGAAGTAAAGGAGATTTTCCAAATCCCTGTTGGTACAACTGATGTTGGGAGTGGGAACCAGAAAGCTTTTTTTTTTTTTTTTTTTCACAAAAATTCTTTAAATCTGATAGAAATCTTGCAAAATTACTTCTTTGCCTACCCTCAGCCTGTGGCCATTGGCTCAGCATCAGTTCAGCTCCGCAGGGTGATTGAGGCTGAGCTGCTCAGTGTCAGCTGGGATATACCTGTGGAGAAAGAGGGAGATCACACACAAGTTGGGCCACTAAAGGTACGTGTTTTACCAACTCTAGCTTGGATTGTTACTAATTTTGGCTCCGCACTTATTTTTAACTCCTCTTTTCTCTCTTTGTTTCAATTTACCAGGTCTCAGCTACAAAGGTTTGCAAGACCAGTATAAAATAACATGATCCATTTCTTATTCCTTAGGGGTTTGGGGAAATATTTTGAAGCTCCTGCATATCTAGGAATGTTGTCAATAAACTGGGACTCGAATACAGAAACCATTCTGCAGGCAAATTTTGAGTGGCACATATTCAGGGCCTGGAGCTTTGGCTATTTCACATGTGGCATGAGCTGAGGTCTCTCTTGCCATGGAGGCCTGGTCTTCTTGTCCTTGTCACTTCAGAAATTATCTTCTCCAGCCAAAGTTTTATCAGTTTGCGCAGCTTCTGAATGAGAAGCACTAACAGTTTGAAGGATTTGACAGTTCTGAGGATAAACAACTCTATATTAGCAGGTGAAGGGTTAAGAATGGGGTGAGCTTTAAGGTCCCTTCCAACGCAGACCATTCAATAATTCATCTGTAATTGTGTGGATTGCACTCCAGCCTGGACTTTATTTCTTAAAGCCACGTGTATTTTATTTTACAGCAAAAGCTGTAGCTTGCAACCGACATAATGCCTTAGGGTGAGTTCTGGAGCAGAGGTGTGATGTGTTTTCCTGAGTTTCTGTTGCATGCCTTGTTCCTGCATGGGGCATTCTGACCAGCTCTGCCTTGCCTTGCAGGTGTCGCTGCAGCTCGTGGCCAGTGCCGCTGCCAGGCCAGCTACAGCCGGGCCCCCAGCCCCAGCTCACGCCGTGAGAGGGGCCCAGCTCGGGCTGCAGGAGCCCAGCAGGACGGGTGGAGGTGCAGAGAGCCCCCTCAGCTCCACAAGGAGCCCCGAGGGCTCCCGGGGGCCAGCAGCAGGCGGCAGGGACGTCGCGCAGCCGCTGTGCCCGGAGCTGGCCCGGGATGAGGTGACACACGTCACGCCAGCTGAGCAGGAGGGGTTACTGCTGCACGTGCTCCTGATGGTGCCTGATGGAAAGGACTTCATTGCAGAAGGCTCTGGGCTCCCCAGTTCCTGCAATGTGTATTTAAACTGCAAACTGCTCAGCACTGAGGAGGCAACGAGATCCGCTGTCGTCTGGGGCACAAGGCAGCCTGCCTTTAATTTTTGTCAGGCAAGTGACATGTTCTCCATTTCCCACTGATGGAAGTGTGGTGCTCCCCACTGACAAACACATTTTGCAGTTAAGTTATTTTGATATACGTAGAAATGTCCCTGCTTGGCTCTGTTGAATGCACATTCAGTTTTTAACTTCTGTCTCTGAAAGGCACAATTCTTGTAGACTGGAATAAAGTAGACTTACCAGAATGCTCTGCACTCAGACAGTACTTTCCAGTGTATTTTGTGTACTAATTCTGCTTTAAACCTTTCAGGTGATGCCTTTTTCATTGACTTCCAAACACTTGGAGCGGCTGAAGAACAATGTCATGATTATTGAAGCATGGAACAAGCTAGGAAGCCCTGGCTGTGACAAATTGCTGGGATTAGTGAAACTCCCTCTGCATCAGTTTTACATCTCATTCAAGTAACCTTGGTTTTTTCCCCATTTTTTATTGGGTTGGGAAATATCCTAGCTGAAGCTTAGAGAAAGAAGTTGGTGATGGTGTGTGAGGGTTGTGTGGGGGGGTTCTTACTTACAATTCATAGCAAAAGGCATTTTTGCCCTGCCAAGCTTCCTGTAGCCCTTTCCTACAGTGAGCAGGGTGTACACTGTCCTTGTCCACAGATAAAGTGTGACAAATAAAGTCACTATGGTGCATCAGGGTTGATGCCTGCTTAACTTGTGGTCCTGTGATGGAATAAAACTAGAAAAAGTCAAAGTGACTACACAGGAGAATGAGGTGTGGCTTTCCATTGGTGATTTTACAAAATTTGACTGGGTTGGGTTTGCCCCTAGTCATGCTCTGCAGAGATCCCATAGGGATGCTGGGTGTCAAAAAGTCTCCACAACCTTAATATTTTAATTGTGCTCTTATCCAATGGGATTCTCCAGAGTTCTTTGTTATTTTTAGGTTTAATCTATTGGCTTCTTGTTCAGTTAAGTAATACACCTGCTTAAAACAGTTTAAATTGCTGGAAATACTGGACAGAAGAAATTCTTCCTAATGCAAAGGATTTATTCATTTTATTTTGTTCAGACCTAGTGGCATGTGAAAACCAGGTGGTGCTGGAGCTGACTGGCCACTACTTTGTTAGTTATTACTGTGTCATTTGTATAATTTTTTTCAGTAAGCCACTGTAGTTTATTTGTGTGTATCTTAGAATCCCAGAATGGTTTGGCTCGGGAGGGGCCTTAAAGCCCATCCAGTGCCACTGGCACCTTCCACTTAACCAAGTTGCTCCAAGCCCCATCCAACCTGGCCTTGAATAACTTCAGTGTATGATTTTTACATCTTTCTGGGAGGCTGTCACTGTTCCTTCTTTTCTTCCGTGCCCAAAGGCACATAACTACCTCATAAAAGTACAATATGGCTACAGGGTGTTAATGGGAGTCTTGTTCTCACTCATCCCTTTGTTCACAGATCTCTAGGCTGGCTGATAGTTAAGGTGCTGTTAGGTTTTGGGAAATTGTCCTTTGTCATTGCTGGAAATAACTTCTTGCACCCAGCAGCTCATGGATCTCTGCTAAGTGAAGATGAGATGTAAGTGAGACAAATTTCAGAGGAACGGAGATAGACTGGTTTTTATCAGCTTTGAAAATCCCATCTAAAACAAGTTCTGTGTGATGCTGTTCCTACTCAGATGGCTCATGCTGGGGCTTTTTTGTTTGTTTTGGGTTTGTTCTGTAGGGATGCCAAGGTTTCCTACCTGCTCCTGCAGGCTCAGTACCCGGTGGTGGCTGTGGACGGCCACGTGCCGGTGGTCGACGTTTTCACGGGCAGCACCCGCGGCAGCCTGAGGGTCACTCTGGCAATGGGATCAGCCAGCCAAATCGTGGCACTGCAGAGGCTCAAAACTGAGGAAGGAATGGTGCCTCCAGTCACACAGCGTCCTCCCCACTCTCTGGACCGTCCGGCTACAAAACCCACACTGGTATTTACTCTTCAGTACACCCCATTCTCGCTGTTAAGGACATGTCAGAAGGGTTTTACCAGTGAGTTCATTAACAGATGAATGATCCCCAATCTCTTCTTGAAGCTGTAGCCAATTTTTATTCTGTAAATTATACACAGAATTATATTGTTTATACTCTTTCTTTTACCAGCTTGCTCTCACCAGTCTTGACATTTTTGCTCTTTTTATTGCCTTGCATATCCACTGTTTCTATCTTCACAAGTCCAGTAAAAACAAAAAAACAGCAAAATTACAGAAAATCTTAATTCTCACAGCTTTATTGTGGAGGTTTTGCCACTACCTTGGAGTTGGATAGGTAGGAACTTCTATCTATGTGCTTCGCAGGAAAAAAATAATTTTCTTTCAGACTTTCAATGTTTCTGTTAACTTTAGGAGGAAAATGGTAGATAATTTCTCTGTCCCCCATCTCAGGCTTCTTAGATCCTTATCACATGTAATTGTGTAGATTGTGAAAGGTCTATGCTCATTGAATCCAACCACTAACCCAGCCCTGCCAAGGCCACCATTAAACCATGTCCCCAAATGTTACATTAACCATTAAACCACATCCCCAAATGTTACATTCATATGGCTTTTGAGTACCTCCAGGGATGATTCAGTTACTTCCCTGGGCAGCTGGTTGAAATGTTCTGAGTTTCCTAAAGTCATCCTTTCCACGTGGCTTTCCCTTTTTTTGCTAACAGTTGGACCCAAAAGGGGAAGACCTGATGGAGCATGTGTTCGAGATCCACGTGGAGGGTGTGAAGGGACTCACTCCCCTACAGTCCACGGTCTGGGGAGAGGCTGACTGCTACATCCAGTACTATTTTCCAGTTCAGGAGGCTGGCTGTGGTGCAATGCAAGGACCTGGACTGCATGAGGATGGTAAGTTTGTTTTATAATTTTGTATTATTTAGATCATTGCTATAATTAAATACTATTTAGTCATGTTCTCTCTGCCTAAGAGGGGGCATGTTTTTCTGAACTTTCAAGTAGCCAATGCTTGTTTTCTTGGAAAAACTGGGCTTGGGCTGTGTCACTGGATCCAAAGCCTTGTTTGTCTGAGGCTGGTGGCAAGTTCCCAGTGGAAAAAGAGACCTAATTCCAAATCTCTTCACATGGTACCTTCTGTTAAAGGTGCTAGAGGACTGTGCCAGCTGGTCTGACAAAGATGCAGGAATGGGTCTGCAGAGAGTAGAGAGATTGTACACAGTGAAATTCAGCAAGGGCTTTACATGCACAAGCCCTTCAGGATGCTCATTTTGATCTCCGCAACTCCCTGACAGGAGAGTGCAGCCAGGTGGGGATCAGGCTCTGCTCCAAGGCAACAAGGGGCAGGACAAGAGGAAATGGTCCCGAGTCATGCTAGGGGAGGTTTAAGTTGAATATTAGGGAAAAGTCTTCATGAACAGGGTTATCAACCCCTGGCACAGCTGCCCAGGGCAATGGTAGAGTCACCATCTCTGGAAGTGTTCAGAAAATGTTCAGATATGGCACTTGGGTACATGATTTACTAGGTGGCCTTGGCAGGGCTGGGTTAACAGCTGGATTTGATGATCGTAGAGGCCTTTTCCAACCATAATTCTGTGATTTTCATGGATACACCAAGAGAAGACTTGCTTGGTTTAGATGACTAGGATTAACATCGAATGGGCAGGGACACCTTCCACTGTCCCAGGGTGCTCCAAGCTCTTTCCAGCCTGGCCTTGGACACTTCCAGGGATCCAGGGGCATCTACAGCTTCTCTGGGCACCCTGTGCCATGGCTCACCACCCTCAGGGGGAAGAATTTCTTCCCAGTATCCAATCTAAACCCATCATTTTTCAGATTATAAAATAATATGTAAAAAATTGTAGCCGTAGGAAAGAACATCGTGTTGAGTGCTTTGCATCAGCAATGTGTATTCCCACTGAAAAATGACAGCCAGTGAAATGGTTCCATAGTAAGTCCTGTGGGATTTCTGTACTGCCTCTTTAGCTGTAGTTCCCAGCCTGTGGCTCACAGGGTCATGGGGTTGCATGGATTGCTTGTAAAAGCTTTGTGAAGTGAAGCTCAGGAGAGCAAGCCTTGTCCCAAGAGGATTTCGCTCCCTGTCCATGGGTCCTACCTCCTGTAGGATTGCAAGCAGAAAAAGCTTGAAAACTGCAATTCCAACCATTTTAACTAGTTCTGCTTGACTTCTAGGCATCACATTAAAGCCATTTAGAACAGCTACCACTTTGTGTGTCCCTGATCCCATCTTCAATGATGAACATCATCATTCCCTGTTGGTTCCTGCTGATGTCCCAGTCCAGAGACTCCTGGTCAGTGCATTTATGACACCAGGAGCAGCAGGAGGAGGAATGCAGTTTGAAGTCTGGTGCAGGTACAGAACAACATCCTGTTCTTCGTACAGCAGTACTGGTAGAGGTACATCTGATCTTGAGAAACCTCCAGCACTGGAACGGATATTTCATAATATTATTTAATAATAGCTAAAAAAAAAAATTGTAAGCTCATCAACATTTGGTGATGAGCATCTGCACTTAAAACCTGTGAGCCTTTTTCCCCACCAAGAGTTCTTATTACTCCTTTTTATAACTTAAAAAGTGTGTGTGTTATTAGTTTGCTTTCTTCCATCTTTTAATCAGCAAAACAATATAAAAGTAATTTAAATGTTTGACACATCTAAATTTTACTTAAAAGCACCCTGAAAATATAATTTCATTGTGCTGGATTTGCTCTTTTCCCTCATACAAATCACTGAGTACAACACAAATAATAAAAAGTGTTCTGTAAATTCAAAATGTTTCTTTGGCTACTGAAGCTAATTGTTAGTAATGGAGAGCAGAAGCCATGAAGGCAAATAGCTTTAGAAAAAAATAATAATCTGTTCATTCTGCAGTAAACAACTCAGGCTTTTTAAATTTTGCAAAGTCACATAAGTATTACTATGGGCTGTTTGTAAGATACAGTGCCAGAATTTGTCTTAGGATGAAGCTGAAGCTAAGTAATGCTCTAAGAAAAGGTTTGGAGTAATTTTTTACACTTACATTCTGGTACCACAAATCTGTTCTGCAAGAGAGGTGTTTTCATTTATTAATGAGAAATTATAGCAGAGAATATTTGGTGCCAGATCCTTCTCTTGTTTTTCCTTAGGATGCCAGTTTTTAGTGGAGTTCCTGCTTGTTGACTTGCTAGGACTAGTGCAAGTATGTATTTGTAGCATTATCTGCTTAAGCACTTAATGATTCTTTTCTTCAGTGGAAATACATTTATTTTTCTCCCTTAGCTGGGGAGGCTAATTAGACTTTGAAGACACTCAAAGTTAACTTCTGTGCAGCTTGAGAGAAATGGTGATGCTGTTTTTGTGTGTTCTACCAGGTATTATTACCCAAATGTCAGAGACCAGTTGGTTGCCAAAGGGGCCTTGCCTTTGTCACGGCTCTGTGCCATGGTGACTCTGCAGCACCGTGAAGAAATAGGCATTCAAACTTTTAATCTTCCCTTGGTCCCACGGAGTGATTCCTCTGAGGAATTTCATCTGCAGTCTTCAGGTGAGCAAGGCTTGTGGGCTTTCCCTGGTAAAAGCAGGCTCAGTTGAGAAACCCTCTGAGCAGCACAACAGTGTTTGATGGTATGTTAGCAAAGGACAAAGAAAATGCCCTCAAATTGTGCCAGGGAGGGTTAGGTTTGGTGTTATGGAAAATTTCTTCCCCCAAAGGGCTGTTCAGTCCTGGCACAGGCTGCCCCAGGCCATGGTAGAATCCCCATCCCTGGCAGGATTTAACAGCTTTGTGGATGTGGCACTTAGGGAGAGGGGAGAGTGGTGGCCTTGGCAGTGCTGGAGAAATGATTGGGCTCCATGATTTTATGGGTCTTTCCCAGCCAAACCAGTTTTGATTCTGTGTCAAATTCTGTCAAATTCTGTGAAAGTCTATTTGCCTCCAGGGCAAATAAAAATATGGATTTATGTTGGCAATTGAAACCAACCAGGAGTGGTTTTCCTCGCAGATTTCACTAACACCATAAAGAGTAAAAAATCAGTGATTAAATAGAGGAAACCCTCAAACTGTCAAAAAGTTGAGCATCAGCCCATGGGCTTGCAGTGCTGGGGTTTGGCCACAGGAGGGCGAAACTGAGAGCCATGGATTGCAATGCCGGGGTTTGGCCACAGGAGGGTGACACTGAAAGCGCTGGACTGCAATGCCGGGGTTTGGCCACAGGAGGGCGACACTGAGAGCGCTGGATTGCAGTGCTGGGGTTTGGCCACAGGAGGGCGACACTGAGAGCGCTGGATTGCAGTGCTGGGGTTTGGCCACAGGAGGGCGACACTGCGGCCAGCCGTGGCCCTGGCGGGATGCGGTGCCGGAGTTTCTGAAAAAATAACTGCACTAATCCACTGGGATTGGCGGTGCAAGAGGCTGTGCCACAGCCGGGAGGTACAGCCAGACCCAGGGGGAACAGCTGGATATGGGGGGAACAGCTGGATTCCAGTGAAACAGCTGGATCTGGGGGGAACAGAGGGAAAATACTCATTAATAGAACAGGTTTTGTATTAATAAGTATAGGTAAATGTTGGTTATGTTGAATGTATGTGCATAGAGAGCTGACCATTTCTTTCATTCCTTTCTTTCATTTAATCCAGGTTTGCTCGATGTGAGTGTGAGGTACCAGCGATCCATGAGAACACCAGCTGGAATGACTGCTCAAGCTGTTTCACTTTCTGTACAAATACACAGGGCAGCTGGTTTGCAGGCAGCAGCCAGGTAAAGCCTAATTCAAAAAGGACCACTTTTCACTTAAAACAGCCTTATCTGGGGGCAGCGGGCTGAGGCATGAGATTAGATCACATTCTTACTGGTCAATTTTCCATCTGCAGAGAGCAAATTCAAAGTGGGTCCTGCTCCAAAGTGAAAATAACTTTATAAAGACCATCAGAGACTTTCTGGTTTCTCTCTGAAGCTGCAGTACAGGGTGGTAGCATTTGTTCTGCAGAAGGACACAGGTTGGAAAGGCATGTTTTCCTACGTTTCCACTTATTTTTTACCCCAAAGACTGGTATTAAAATTGGCTGATATGAGATGGAAACTTTTTGGGCAGTGGATCCTGGTGTTGCTGATGCTATTTAAAAGCTAGCTGAGGTTGTTTTCTTACATTTCACTGTGAAAACCTCAATAAACTGACTAGGAAATGAAATATGTTCCTTTCCACCTTAAGGCTTCTGCTGCCAGTGTGTGGTATCAGCTAGATATAATTCCAGACTATGTGGTTTTCAGCAGTCAGGAAAGAGCTAGAATAGAGGGAGTCAGTTCCACAAGAGTAGGATGGCTCCTGTCATTCCAGAGCCATGGTCTGACCCTTTCTCAGTGTTGCTGTGAGACCCTGGTCCATCCTAATTCAAGCACACCCTGACAGGTGAGGATCACTGTTGTATGGTGCTTGGAGAAGTCAAAGGAATGGAATGACCTCAGGCCCCTCATCCTTCAGGTGCATGACCTGAGTAATACCTGGGTCTGGTTTACTTGTAAATGACTCCATTTACTAATTTCATCTCCTTGTTCTGGTCTGTAAAAATAATTTAGCTTGGCCTTGGCTTCTTTCTGGAGCAGGTTCTCAGGGAAGTTATTGTACAGTACAGTGTATCCTTAAAGGTGCTGAGTACTTTCTCAAGCACAGATAAGGACACAGCCACCAGTGATGGACCTTGTGAGTTCCTCTCACCATTTTGTACCTGTCCCTACTATGTTCAGATGGAAAGAAAAGATGAAAATGCTGTGCAGCCAGAACCCACGTGCATTTTGACTTAGAACGCTCACTGTTAGTCCCATCTTTTCACCTCTGTTTTAAGCATGTTGCTTCCTAGATTCCTCATGCATTATCTGTGTTCTCTTCCTTCTTTTTTTTTTTTTTCCCCATGGAATGCAGAGCTGTGGCACAGAAGAACCCCTCTGTGCAGTACTATGCAGGGGTGGGGGTGAACACCTACGTGTGCGTGCTCCCGTCCTTCCTGCCCCCGGCGCGGGCGCGCAGCACGCGGGCTGTGCCCTGCTCCTTCTGCCCAGAGTTTGGGCATAGCCTGGAGTTCCTTTGTCATCTCATCACCCAGAAAAGCACTGGAGAAACCTCTTCTCTGGGGGAACTCTTGCAGTCTGGCAGCATTTTTTTCTCCATCTACCATCAGGGCACCAAGTCAGGTAAGGACAACAGGGGTGGTTGCAAGGATTGAATACTGGTGCAGAAGTCCCCTTAATTGTAGTGTAGAAAAAAAATACTCATAGTATTATGGAATAGTTTGGGTTGGGACTTGAAAAACCTCCCTGCAATGAGCAAGGCCATCTTCCAGCAGGTCAGGCTGCTCAGAGCCCTCTGCAGGGAGCTCTGCAGTTGCTAAGAGATGTAATTCTCTAAATTGTCTTTGGGAGAGACTGTTCCCTCTGTGCAAAGAGTTTTTGAGATTTCTAGTGATGAAGATCACCTCTTACCAGCTGTCCTCCAGTCAATCACTTATGTACCAGTTGGATGTATTTACAGAATTATTTCTCTTCCAGCCACTGACAAATTGGCTGACAGAACATCCAGAGATTATCTTCTTGGGACAGTCACGATTCCAACCAGAGACCTGCTGACAAAAAGATCAGGTAACACAGCAGTGCTGTGCTGCTGACATTCTGTGTAAATGCTATTGCAATTCCTTAAAACTATTTCCATTCCTGTTTTGGGAGGCTTGTTTTGGTTTTGGGGGGAGTTTCTGGGTTTTTTTAGACCAAAGTTCTTTCAGATGTTCCCCATGTGTTCAGTAAAAATTCTGTGTTAGGAAAGTCACATAAAGTTTGTTGTTTGAAAATCTGTTTTCAGGGTGTAGGATGTTTGGTGGCTGAATGAATATTCTGAGGCTACTGTGAAGAAACTGCCAGCTAAAACCAGCACCTAAAATCCTTAGGACTTTATTCAGTGCTGTTTATTTTCTAGATAGAAAGTCCAGAAAGGATATCAAGTCCATGAGTTGTAGTGTTCAGTGCAGGACCAGTGGCTGCTTTTCAGATGTCAAAGCTGGAAACAAAAGATAATTAGAAAGTAGTAGGATTAACTTCTTTTCTTTTAAACTGGGTGTGAAATATCTCAGTGCTCCTTTTGAGTCCCTTCCACTTTCGAATATTCTGTGAAATTTCTGTGAAAAAATTCTTTACATACCTGTCCACTAATCTACTATTAGTTTGGAATTATTATAACTTGTAGTAATGATGTTTTTCTTATTTGCCTTGGTTATTTCTGGTTTAATTTCTGCAAAGTTCTCTTTTTTCTGCCCAAAATTTTGAGGTTGTTTTTATAAGAAGAGAGTAGGAAAGAACACATAATTTTATAATATAATATAAATATACATGTATATAAAAATATAAATTTATTGTATATAGGTATATATAAAATATATATTTATAAAATATATATAAGTTATATATATTGTATATGTTTATATAAATAAAAAGTATGTATTTATTTTTTATTTTATATATATAAATAATAATATAATTTTACTCCAGGGATATAGTTTCATGGTAAAATGGGTGTTGTTAATGAAGTGAAAATCCTTTGGGATCAGAACTGCTGCTGAGGTTTTTAGAAGGCAAGCAACATTTTGCTTTTTCAGATTAGAAATTATTTAATAAAATTCCAAACGAGAAATAAACCCTTGGCGTTCTGGTCCTTGACTGATGATCAGAGGTGTCCATTCTTCACTGACATTTTTGGAAAGCTGGGACAAGTCTAACAGGATGTTTCCTCCCGCAGGTATTTCAGGCTGGTACCCAGTGACCCTCTCCGAGGACCCGCTGCCTTCACACTGCACAAACGCCCTGCAGACCATTGTGGGAGGGCTGGAACTCCGCGTTGCCTTTGCCCATCAGGGTGACAGGGAGCGTGTCTTGGAGGCTGCCAGGCTCCTGGGGTGGAGCAGCGAGGAGAACCACGAGGACAGCGAGGACGGCAGCGGGGACTGGGAGCACAGTGCCGGCCCGGTGGCCGTGACCATCTCCACGCCACGGGTGTGGCTGCCGCTCCGCTGCGTGCTGCTCACGGGCCAGGCACACCTGCACAAAAGCACTTACTGCTACCTCAGGTACAAGCTGTACAACCAGGAGGCCACCTGCACGTGGCTGAGGCGGCCAAAGGTGAGCGACGACGCGGAGAATGTCACGGTGAGCTTCAGGAAACCCAGCAAGGTGACTCTCAGAAGGAACCAGGGGCTGCTGTGGTTCTTCAGGGAGGAGAAGTTGGAAATCCAGGTGTGGTGTGCATATGGCAAGGAAAATGAGGTGGAAAGACCCCTTGATACAGATCGTCTTATTGGATCTGCCTACGTCGACCTGGCAGCGTTGGCAGAGAGATCCAGGAGAACGCTCAGTGTTAGTGGTGAGTCCCTGAAACACGGGGTCACATTTCATTCCTCCCTGTGTTTAGTGTGCCTCCTTCTCCACTCACTTTAAACAAAATGTTCACAGCTTTGTTTTGTCCTGCACAGAATCCCAGGGTGGTCAGGGGTGGAATGGATCTCTGGAGATCACCCAGTCCCAGCCCCGGCCCAGGCAGGGTCACCTGCAGCAGGTGACACTGGAACATACCCATGTGGGTTTGGGATGTCTCCAGAAAGGGAGACTCCAGGCCCTCCCTGGGCAGCTGTTCCAGGGCTCTGCCCCCTCCATGGACAGAAGTTCTTCCTCACACTGAGGTGGAACTTCTGTTATAGTTTATGGCTCCTATCATCTACATGGTACTCATCACCTAGCACATTTGTGGACTGATATGCTCTTGTTTTAGATACACTCAGGAAAGGGAGAAACAACAAGAGTTAAAACAAATTTTTATACAGGGTATATGTTATATTCTCCATACATGTATATAAAATTACGCTGAGTCGCTGCTCCCAGGGCTCTCAGGAAGTTGATGTGCTTTAATCTGCGTTACTGGGGGAAAATGATGGTGTACCAAATTTGGGGGATTGGTCGTGGTTTTTAATGTTTCCAAGCTTGTACTTCTGGATGATGACTCACATAGAAATTACACTGAAAATCAAAATTTGTTCTGCTGGGCTCATGCGAGGTCTGTGCAGTAATGATCTGTAGCAGCTGCTCTCCAGGCTCCTGCTTTCCCGTGGCTCAGTTCCTGGCTGTGTGTGCCCTCTCCTGCAGGCGTTTATCCGCTGTTCCGTTGCAATGCCGCGGACCTGGCCGGCGCCGCTGTGCGCGTTCACGTCAGCCTCGGCCCCTCCGCCCTGCCCAGGCCTCCCTGTGCCGAGCAGTGCAGCAGCAGTGAGGATGGAGGCTCGGGGGAAAGCCCTGCTCTCAGCCAGCAGGTCTCTGACAAGCAGCAGGTGGATGTTGTAGGCTCAGGGATCACCAACGGAGAACCACAGGAAGAAGACGAGATGTTCCTGGAAAACACAGTTGCTGTCAATATCCTGGTGGAAAGAGCAATGCATCTAAGTTTAAAAGGTAACATCTCACACCCTTCCTTTTCTGTCTTTCTTTTTTCTTTCTTTGTTTTCTGTTTCTTTGTTTGCCTCTGAGATCTGTTCCTACCCCAGCAGAGTGAATGGCAGGGACTGATTTTTCACTTGGCTTTGTGGTGTAGCAGCCCCAATCACTGTGTAAGTACAGGGAAAGCAGGAGGCTGAACTACACAGCCTGTGTTCATTAATAAACTACAAAATATAAACAATTTAATGTTACCTGTTAGAGATGACAGCTGAATTCTGAAATTAAGCACTGTCTGAATAGCTCAACTCCACGTTAAGCATTGGCTGAATAAATAAACCCCAAGATGCCCCTATCTCATGGACTCCTGAAAATTAGCACATAATGAATTTGTAAAGCTGCCTCACTGTACTCAGCTTTTCTTCCCCTGATAACACAGCTAAGAGTTAAATGCAAGCCATGATTTAAGGATATGTAATTCTAAAAGAATCTGAGCCCTGCACATGCATTTTTATAATAATTCTGGAATCTTCTGGAATTCATAGTCTTTGAAAAACTGGTGCAATTTTATTTGTTATTGCAAAGTTTTTGATGATATAAAGAAGGTTTCTTTTGAGTATTGCATAAATATTTAAATATTTCTGTCTTGCAGCATGGAGAGTAGCTCAAGCACTCAGGACCTGGCTTGTATTCCTAGTTTTACTTCTGACTTCTTAGATGGCCTTGGGCAAATGGTTTTTCTGTTTCTCCTTTGAATATTCCAGTTTCTGCCCTGTGAAAGGTTCATGTAATATTTTTTTCCATTGTAAACATAACATGCTATCAGCTCCACCAGTGAAAAGGAATATTTCCTAGATGGTGGATTTCTTTGCCAGCTGTGTGGTCTTAAGTGCTGAACTGCCTTTGATGTTGTTGCTATTAATTAAAAGATCTATGTAATGTATGTAATTCTCTGCCATTTCAGGAAGTCCCTTGACAGAGCGGGAAGTGGCAGCCCCCAGCAGCTGTGTGTCGTTTGCTGTTGCTGGAGCAGATGCTCCAGTAACCACTCCAGTGGTAGGAAATACAGACTCCCCAGTCTGGGACTTCCAGCAGCAGGCAAGGTGAGAGGTGGGGATTCACAGACACTCCCTGGGTCTGACAGCCAGGCAGGTCTGAAAAGGACTTATGGTTGGGGTTTTTTTAAGCTCAGACCTGGATATCTGAGCTTAAATTTGAAAAGATGAATTGGCTGCTTCAAGGAACCTCAGCAGATCAAGCCATACATGGCAGTATTCAGGAATTAACCTGTGTGATCCAATCTTGTGTCTCCTCCAGTGTTTCTAAGATCTGAATCCCTTCAAAGAACTTAAAAACTGTTCTACATTTAACACTTCATTTTTCCTTTTCTTTTTTTTATCTCCAGCACTGAACTTCACACATTACAGCTTTGAACCATAACCCAGTGCTTTACTGTCACTGTGATACTGAGCTATGAAATAATCTGTATTTCTGTTTCTTCACAATTTCTTTGTCATATCTTTTAAATGTACAGCAAGAGTGAGGAGAAGGAAATACTTCTTGGATAAGCAGAAGCCTAAACTATGTAGAGATGTATTGTGCTTTGAGGCTCAATAATTTTGGGGTTTGTTTTGTTCCTGCCCCATCAGTACAGAAAGAAACTGGTTTGTCTGGGTAGATAAAATGGCACTGAAACGTCAGAAGCATTTCACTGCTTTTTTTTGCTTTGCATAAAATACTATGTTTTTCTTCCTAACAGATTATCCAAAGAGCTTCTCCTGGATCCACAGCAAACCTTGGTCTTCAAAGTGTGGCATAAAGCAGGTAAAGTTTGTGGCGCAGTATTAAGAGGAGTGTGTTTTCTGCATCCCCTTCCTTAGGTTTCTTGTATTTCCTGCTAAGAAAATATATTCTGTCAAGTGAATAGGAGAGCAGAATTGTAATGCCATCTTTTGCCTTGTACAAGAAGAATGCTAGAGATAAATACCTATAGATTTTCTGGCCCTTTGCATCCTCCTTTTCCCATTAATCATCTTACAGGATTTGGTTCATCCTTATTCTCTCTGGTTTTATTTTGGCAGTGCTGTAGAGGTTGGATTTTCCTGCTGAAAGAAATTCTTAACTGATTCTTTCAAGTCCTGTTTGTTGTTGCTGCACTTGGTTGAAGTGTGGCCAGCCAGTTAGCCAAATACTTTTATTTCTTTCTTTTTACATATTGAAGTTCAGGTGTCTGATTTTTGCTTCAAAAATAAAGTTCATGTGTATGTAGAGAACTGTGTGCACACAGTGCTTCTCCTGCCAGTCCCTCTCCCTGCCCTGGGCTTTTACTGTTCTACAGGGATGTTTTTAGCTGAACATAACCCAGGTCATCCACATAAAATCCCCCTGTTGGACAGGATTGTTCTGCACCTCGGGTCAGCTTCCAGGCCATGGTTCCAGGGCTGTGTTTTAGCATTCCTGAAAATGATTGATGTCAGTGTGCATGTGCTTTGTGTCCTTCTTCCCCAGAGTCGGAGCGAGTGATAGGATTTGCATCCGTGGACCTCTCTCCTCTCCTCTCTGGCTTCCAGCTGGTGTGTGGCTGGTACAACATCACAGACTTCAGCGGGCAGTGCCGAGGGCAGATTAAAGTGGCCGTGTCCCCTCTCCAAAATATAAATAACCTCAAAGAAGAAAGGCAGGCCAGGGCCCGAAGCCAGCCGGAAACTTCCTCGGTATGTTCTTCCATTTCCTCCCCTCTCACACTTAATTGGATTGCTAATAATCAGCACTCTGGCTTCCTGAGCAAATTCACAGCACTGTCATGGACCAGTCTGCATAAATGTACCAAAACCACCCAATTCCTTAGGAATTCTGCTCCAGGTTTCCATGGCAGCTGCTGGCCAGTGCTAGTTACAGCACCTCAACCAAGTCCTGAGCATCCCCATTGGCTTCACTCTGCGGTTGCTGCATGGGTGTGGGGGATTTTTTTTAGGAGAGTATTCTGTGTATTTGGATGTCTGGGAGCATGGCATAGTTGTGTTTGCTGCTTTGGGTGACAGCTGGTGCTCAAAAACATACAGTAAATTCAACTTTTCATTGGTTAGGAAACATCTAATTTGGCAAGAATCTATTTTTCTGGGGTTTTCTTTATTCTCTACACTTCCCGGATATGCTTGGGTGTGTTTACAGACATGTAATGCAGCCTTTATCCTACTTTCCATTGCTTTACTCTCTGATAGCATGGAGGGAGTACTGGGAAATCATTTGAAAAATTAAAGCTATTTAGAAAGCCTCAGGTTTTGTTAGATCAGCAGGATAATACCTTAATTTATCTTATTTTCTTATTGTGAAAGACTCACATACAGTGTTCCTTTTTCCTTTTCATCCTAGGTGAAGATCAGCTTTCCAGCATGTCCTAGTAATTCTACAAACTTGTCCAAGCAGATGTTGCATTCCTTGTCAAAGGAAGTCACTGTTCCTGCTCGAGAGCAGTAAGTCCACAGGCTGGCAACCTTTTTGGTTATTTTCAGGTCTCAGAAGTACCTCTCTCAATTGGAAGTCTCCAATTGACTCTACTGGAAAAATGGAACACCCTGTCAGCGTGTCCAGTGTGTCTGGGCTTAAAAATTAGTGGCCATTCCCTTTCCCAGTGAGAGAGAGGTGCAGGAGGTGACAATCCTGGGACAGGTTCCTTTTGGCACAGCCCAGATGTTCTTTTCCTTGTCATTGATACTTCCTGATTTGTTTCATTTGCACCTTGGTAAATAAGGATTTAAATGGTGCCATTGTTGAAGCTGGCAGGTACTTTCTCCAGGCCCTGATAAGAATAAGGGTTGTGTCTGTATTTGGTTTTATTTTTAGTAAGTTTAAATGAGAATAGAGTTTTCCTGATGCATCCCCCTTATTTTGCCTTAATTTCTGTCCATGACCAGTGAATAGCAGCTGGTGAAATGCTGGAGCATTGCATATTACAGGAGGGAGACTGTCATATATTCTGCAGTAATTCCTGCTTTCTGTCCCTTCAGATGAGTGAGAGTGTCTTAGTTTATTATTTGTTTATTTAGCATGCAGAGATGATCCTCTTCCCATATTTGTCTTTGAAGTTTGGAGAGACTGTGGGTGACCACTCTGGGATCTGAACAACTGGCTTGGGAGCTGCCAGCAGGCACGGAGAGCTCCCTACCAGCCCCACTGTTAACCTGACTTTGGCATAAATCTGAGACAGTAAATGACATTCCTGTGCACATTTGGAAGAACTCGTTTCATCCATCGGTGGCTCTTTACTGGATTTCAGGACACGGGCTGTTCTTAGGTGGCAGAGTTTGCACAGTGGGCGGTTCCAAGCCGGTTTCTGGTGTTAAACAGAGGCCTGTTTTCAGCAGGGTTGGCCCCCCTGGCACGCAGACGCCTCGGCACGAGGAGCACATGCAGAACGTGCGCCGATTCCACGAGTCGCTGCAGCAGGCGGGCGGGAATGGGAGCGCGCACCGTGCCCGGCGGGATGCGGCTCCGCCGGCCTCGCGCGCCGCGCTCCTCACCGCGCTCAGGTACCCGCGGGCTGGGGGCAGGGGGAGCTGGGAGTGAGGGATCCGTGCTGGGGAGATGGGAGTGAGGGATCCGTGCTGAGGAGATGGGAGTGAAAGGGTGCAATAACCACAAAGAGATTCCGGTGTCGTTCACGGCGGGTTGAGGCCAGGCTGGAAAATCAGGATGTTTCTCCTCCTGCTAGAAGCAATGTGCTCTTTACTAGATTCTAGGCTTAAAAGAGGTATAAATTTAGAAGAATAGTATTTATTATCTCTAGGAATAAGGAATGAAAGAGGCTTCCTGAGGTGCTTCATCCCTACCACAAGCAAAGTATCTTAAAATCCCTAGATCTTAAACACATAGAAGTCCTTGGATTTTTATCAAGCTCAGCCATAAGTCATGTAATATCCTTGGCTTTTTGACTTTTATTGAAAGGTCATCTCAAATCCAAGTCCTTTGATTAAGTAAGTTTAGAACTAGCTCTTTTTTAGCTTCCAGCCCAAGTTTCATAGCCAAGTCAGGATTTGTTCTGGAGTGTTATCCTCTTGCTTAGAGCAACCTCAACACTTGCCTACGGATCTGCTTTTCAATAAAAACCTTTAATCTTTTATTTGCATGTTTACCTGTTGTTGGCTAGAATGATCCAGCTTAAACCCATCTGCCACAGGCTCATTTTCCCTCTCTGACCAAATTTTTTACCACTGCTTGCAGAAAGAACTTGAGCGAGCTGGATGAGGTTCAGAGATACTTCAATGAGAAGCTGACCAGGTCTTTCCCCGACTTCAGCACATCCAAACCAGGCCAGGAGGAGCGGGAGAGTGACGATCAGGGTTCCATGAGCAGAGAAGTGGATCCCAAAGGCTGCCATCTTTTGGAAAAATCTAGTCAGTTGGTGTCTCAGGTCAGCAGCCTAATCAATGGTGAGTTGTTGCTGTGAGTAGCAAAGTGACAAGGAAATCAAATCCCTGCTGGTGCTTTTAAAGTAACTTACCAGGGCAGAGAATAAACTGGAGCCCAGAGCTGCAGTTGCTGCCGGTTGGAAAGTTATTCCATGCTTTTTCTGCCCATGGCTTCCTACAGGGAAGCAGCATTTCCAAGAGATGAAGGGCACATCCCTGTTATGCCAGAATTTGCCATTCTTCTGCTACTTTGATCTTCTTTTTTCCTGCTCTTTATTCTCCAAGGCTTTGCTCTTTTTATTTCCTTTCTTGTCCTTAGCAATTGTTTTTACTGCTTTTTTGCATGCCTTCCTCTACAGTCTGTTCCTGACTCTTCCTCCTCCATTTCCAAATGTCCCCCACCATTCCCTTGGAGCAGGACTTGCCTCACAATAGTTGGTCACTTTACCTAGTACTGATGAACTCAATTCTCAGAGGATGCAAGCAGTGAATAGGATCTGCTCACTGCAAACCAGAAATAAGTGATTGTGGCTTTTTAAAGAATTTACAAAATTTCCCATTAATTTCATCCTCAATGCTTCTGTTTTTCCTTAGCATTTCTGTTCCTCTGGCCTTGTCAGTGGGAAGCAGAGCAGAACACGCTCACATCAGCAGTGTTTGCAAAGCTGTGCATGTTTAGCTCCCAACCATCCTTACATCTAGGACTTTCTGCCAAAAACCCACATAAATCAGACTTAAGATGAATTGTTGCTCCGTGCATTTACTGGCGCTCTTTTTTGTTAACCAGACTTGCAGACCATAACTAAAAATAGCAAGGAAGCTTCTGACGTGCCTCAGGAGAGCAGCAGGAAGCTGGGTGCTTTGACTGTACCCATCTGGAAGCAGGAAGGAGGCAGTGAAGCTCCTGGAGGCCAGCTGGAGATGCCAGATGTGCCAGCTGGAGATGCCAGTGTTCCCTGTGGCCATGCCAGCAGACCCGTGTTTGAGAGACACATGTTGCACCAGCTCCTAGGCCCCATTATCCCTGAAGATGAGCATCCAGAGGGTGTTGTCCAGGAAAAGGAAGGTGCTTTTGCCATCCAGCCTCACAGTGAAGAGGAATATGAAGAAGATGTTATAGAACCACGGACTCTAAATGAGATAACCACCATGACAGACAGGACGAGCCCCTGGTCCAGCATGATCTCTGAAACAGGGCAGGGGCCTGAGCTGCAGCCTCTGGACCCCAGGGCTGGGGATCAGCACTCCATGGATGTGGGCTGTTTCCAAAGAGGGAACAGCAGCACCTTGTCCAGCATGCTGCAGGGGGACAGCCAGAGCATGCTGAGCGCCCTGAGCCCACCCATGAGCCCCAAGGTGGGTGGGAACAGCCCCTGGGGAGCAGCAGGAGACTGCCAGACCTTCCCCAGAAGCACAGGAACAGCAGAGAGGGAGCTGCTTCTGCCATCTCAGCTGAGCCTCTGGAGCAGAGCACTGAGCACTGAACCCATAAAGAAAAGCGTGGAGTTCCCTGCAGGCTCTAAGGAACTGCTGCCATCCTCAGGAGACATGGGTTTGACCAATCAAAAAACCACTGAGGAGGAGGAAGGTGCTGAGGTTGTAAATGGAGATCATCAGGGCAAGGAAGGAAGTGGCTCTGATGAGAACTGTGTTCAGAGTGTATCAGCCCAAGCTGGCTCAGAAGGAAACAGCGAGAGCTTCCCTGATGACAGCAGTGAAGACCCAGTGGAAGGCTCAGAAAACCCCATCAAACAAAAAATCTCTTTGTATCCTTTACACTTTTCTGAAACACTCTTGCATTTGATGACTCCTCTGCTTAGTTAGAGTCTCCCTGGCCTCAGGACAGAGAAATGTGCTATGTGAAGCTCTTCCCTGGGAAATTAATCCAGAGCTGGTGATCTGGAAAGGTGTTGGAGGACCCCATTACTTTCTTGAAACTTATAGCCAACAAAATTTGTGATTTGTGAGAGTCACTTCATTTTGGGTAGTTCCTACATGGCTTGTTGCATTTTCTCTCCCTGTTATTTTTCCCCATGTGTTGGAGCTCTTGTGTTTCTCGTGTATCAAAAGAAACTTGCTTTATTTTGATTTTAAAATACTTGTTAATGTTTCTTGCACAAATTACAAATCTTGGAGTGAGTGTTGGAATGTTTGCAGGATGAAGTCCTCTGCAGATTTGTGAGGTATTGTTTTAATGTGGGTCAGTGTCCCATGCTCTGCGAGCCCAGGTGAGAGAACCACATGTTCAGAGCAATGGAATAATGATTAAAACAAATGAAATTTGCTGTTTAGGACCTGTTAACAGCTGAGGCTTTTTCCACACCTGGACCTCTGTGCAACTGCAGGTTGTTCCTGAACAGTTCTGCTCAGATCTGATCCTGTTGTTCCCAACTTCTTCCTTCCACCCCAGGAGATGGAAGCCTCCATGAGACTGCTCTGCACTTCTTCCCACCCTTCCACACCTCCAAAAGTAAGTATGGGATGTCCTTTCCTTTATTGTCCAACTCAGTCCATTCCTTGAAGCAGGAACAAAACTTCTCCCTTCCTTGGCCTGCCAGCACTCAGCTTAGATGTGATGGCTTCCAGCAGAGTCAGGGGGACTCTTCCTGACACCTCTTCTCTCCGTGAGGATGGTTTTAGCATCCATGGCTGTGTTCTCTGTGATCCTGATGCCTTTATATCCACCAGTTGTTGAGCATGCTCAGGAAATGCTGCTCCATCAGGGGCAGTGGCAGGTTCTCACTCTGCACCTCTTTGTGCTTTAATGTGGGGTGACATGCCTGGTTCTGAGGAGCTCTAACTTGTGGTTATGGCTCCAGTTTGTCTCTTTTAGACCAGGATGAAATGAGGGAGTTTGCAGCAGGAGGGGGTTCCTGGAGAGGTATCCTGTGATGGTTCTGTGACCCAGGGAGCAGTGGAATGGCTTGAGTGATTGTTCCTCCTGCAGGAAAGCTGTGGATTGCTGGGGGTTTGCTTTTTTATGTTCATAAGGATTTATTTACTGCCAGAGGTTTGTGGCTCAGTTGTTTCAATGCCTATGTATTTATCTTGTTTTCAGTTCCTCAAGAGGGGTTATAAAAAAGAAAGAGACTTTTTACAGTGGCATATAGTGATGGGATAACGGGAAGCAGTTGTAAACTAAAAGAGGGGAGATTTGGATTGGATCTTGGGAAGAAATTGTTCCCTGTGAGGGTGCTGAGGCCCTGGCACAGGGTGCCCAGAGCAGCTGTGGCTGCTCCATCCCTGGAAATGTTCCAGGCCAAGTTGGATGGGACTTGGAGCAGCCTGGGACAGTGGAAGGTGTCTCTGCCATGGCAGGGGTTGAAATGGGATAAGCTTTAAGGTCCCTTCCCACCCAAACCACTCTGGAATTCCATGATCCTTTTCCAGCCCCAGCTCTGCTGTGGGTGTGGATCTGGGTGTGCAGCAGCTCTTTGTTTACCACTCCCAGACAGGGTGATGCCTCTCTTCCTCTCCAGATCAGCTATGAAACACTTCAAGGGACATTTATGTCAGTGGGAGCAGCTTACCTGATGAATCAAAACAGACTCAGGCCCTAACAGCTCTGAAGTCACAGAAACCTCTGGTTTAATGCTGATACCAGCTTTACTTGAGCCCCCTGAGTGCAGCTCTGAGCTGAGCTGCTGGAACTACGGCCCTGCAAATTATTACTAATTAGGTAAAATGTTGGCAGTGCACTATTTGGATATTTTGATCCTAAAGCACTTAATTTGAGGCTGGCTGGCACTGATCCTTTGCTGCAGCACTTGTAGGATGAGCTGAGACGGGATTTGGTTGTGACTTGTTCATCAAATTCCCTCTGCGAAGAACCAATTTTTCAATGCTACCAATGCATAGAGTTCAGAAAAAATGCTTCCTCATAGTTTTGTTTTTAACTGACCTTTGGAACATCAGCTTCTAAATCTGGCCTTGTTTGGTCCTGCACAGGTCAGCAAACACCAAGCGTGGCAGCAGGGCTGAAACGTGAGCTGTCCTCTGGACATCACCTGAGCCCTCTCTCACTTGGCAGCTGGCAGCTTGTCTCCTGACCTTCCTGGTGCTCCTGCCACCTCTCCCTGGCTTGTCTGCCTCCCTGCTTTCCCCAGCTTCCCTCCTGGAATGACACAGCAGTGCTGAGGTGTGGAGCTGGGCAGTCACAGCGAAGGAGCTGGCAGTGTTTGAGACAAAAACCTGGTCTCAGCTCCTGCTGTGAGAGCACAGGGCCCTGAGGAGGTCAGGCTCAGCCTGGAGCTGTGACCACCTTCCAGGGATCAGAGTTTTGTAGAGCCTCACAAAACCTCTTTGTTTTTTACTTCTTTCCCCGTTACATCAAACTAACGCTTCCCATTCTTGGGGTCCTTCCCAGCTCTTGTCTTCCACACTGCTCACCTGCTCTGAGGGGGGCTTAGAGGATAGGATTGAAAAATCTGAGCGTTGATAAACTTTTCCATAAAATGGCAGAATCCCAGAATGCTTTGGGTGGTAAAGAATATCAAAGATCCTCTTGTTCCCCCCGCTGCCATGGCAGGGACACCTTCCACCATCCCAGGCTGCTCCCAACCCCATCCATCCTGGCCTTGGGCACTTCCAGGGATCCAGGACCAGCCACAGCTGCTCTGGGCACCCTGTGCCAGGGCCTCAGCACCCTCAAAGGGAAGAATTTCTTCCCAGTATCCCATCTAACCCTGCCCTCTGGCAGGGGGAAGCCATTCCCCTTGTTCTGGCACTCCAGGCCCTTGGCTAAAGTCCTTCTCCAAATGCAGTGATATTCTTTTCCCTCTCACCTCTAGGAATATTCCAACAGAATAAGAAAGTTAAGTGGAAACCGGTTTTACTCAGAATAATTCATATTTGTGTATACCCAGACTTACCTTCAGTGTGAATTATTTGAAGTAACAAAGCCTTGGGCAGATTCACTAAAACAGGCATTTGTATGTTGCAAAAATGGCAACAGCAGCAACAGCCAAAACATCCTTTCTTGGTTGTGTTGTTCCTTCTTGATCTGCTGGATCTTCCTGATTTCCTTGCTGGAAAGCAGGGGCAGGTGCCAGGCCGGTGCCAGGGTGGGTTGTGGCCTGTTGACACAGATCTGCTCACCCTCCATCCCTGTGCGCAAGCAAAGCTGCTGGCAAACTCGCTGGGCCACAGTGCTGAAATGTCCTCTGCCTCCAAGACTGGCATTCCTTGACCTTGGAGGAGGCTGTACCCCCACCATGACCTGTAACGTGCTCCTGAATCTGCTGCAGCCCAGCCCCTGGCACACAGGCACAGAATCATCCTTGGCTGGTTTCAGCGTCGCTGCCGTTCCTGCAGGGAGGGGAGCGGAGCGTGATCCTCGGGGCACGAGTCCCCTTTCCTCCTGCATCTTTCCCCTGGAACACGTGTGCTTCCTGGCTGAGCCCCAGGCACTTGGAGCCTGAGAGACAGACAGGGGGAACCTGGGATGGGCACTGACCCGAGCCTGTGCCGGGCTGAGGAGGGGTGTAAACACGACACTTCAGATGTGTGCTCTGGAAACTATGCAGGGCATCGAGCTGGCAGCCAGAAACTGCCTGGGAGATGGGGCAGAGGAAGGGTTGGCATCCAGAAAAGAGCAAGGGAGCTGGGGAAGGGGCTGGAGAGCCAGGAGCAGGTGAGGCAGCTGGGAAGGGGCTCAGCCTGGAGAGAAGGAGGCTCAGGGGGGCCCTTGTGGCTCTGCACAACTCCTGACAGGAGGGGACAGCCGAGGGGGAACAGGGACAGGAGGAGAGGGAACGGCCTCAGGCTGGGCCAAGGCAGGCTCAGAGTGGACATTTCTTTCCCCAAAAGGCTGTCCAGCCCTGGCACAGCTGCCCAAGGCAGCGGTGAGTCCCCATCCTGGAGGGATTTAAAGCTGTGTGGATGTGGCACTTGGGGACAGGGGATAATGGTGGCCTTGGCAGTGCTGAGGGAACAGCTCCATGATCTTACATGTCTTCTGCAAGCTCAGGAATTCCATGATTCTGTGATTCTGGTCATCTCTCTGAGCTGGGAGTGTTAATGGTGGTTTCAAACCTTGCTCATTTTGAGTCACACCTGTACATGTGAAATAGCAGCAAGAGATGGTGTTAAACCTCTCCCACAGCTGGAAGTTCCTTGTTAGGGAGGTCACTGGGATAGACACACACATCTTAACACCACTTCATCCTGCACGTGGGGCAGTGGTAGGAAGATGGGAGGAGGTGTATTTTAGCTGCTGATCTCTGCAACAACATGCCAGTGGTGTGTTTTCCAAGCACACCTGGTTTCCTGGCTGTGGGAGCAAACAGACTGCTCTCCTTCACCTCAGTGACATCAGATAGCACCAGGCACCTGCTCTTGTGTTGTGGCTTTGGAGAACAGGGCATTTTAGGGGTGTTAGATGTTGGGAGGGCATTATTGACTGTGAGGATGGGCAGGGCTGGCACAGGGTGCCCAGAGCAGCTGGGGCTGCCCCTGGATCCCTGGCAGTGCCCAAGGCCAGGCTGGACATTGAGGCTGGAGCAATCTGGGATGGTGGAAGGCGTCCCTGCCCATGGCAGGGGTGGCACTGGATGGGCTCTGAGGTTCTTTCCCACCCAAACCATTCTGGGATTCTGTTCCTTACGTTGAAAATGGGAGGTGCTGGCTCTCCATCCCTGGCTGTGCAGGACACGTGGCATGTGGGACAGGGGAGCTGTGGGAGGCAGGAAATGCAGTTTCATGCACCTTTGAAAGAGAGTTAGTTGGCAGGTTGGGGGAGTTTCCTAGAGAGATGTTTTCGGGTTCTGTGCAGAACTCAGGGATCAGCAGAGGGCCTGGTCACTGCCCCTCTCCAGCCACTCCTGACCTTTTGGCTGTTCCTTGGGCAGAAAACAGCGTGGGAAGAATGAGCTACTGTCCTGGTCTCTGGACAGCCCTGTCCGAGGGAGGTGCTTTGCCCAGCAAGCAGCTCTTTCTGCTGGCTTTTAAGCTTCTGCTGTGGCCAGGTCTGCATTTAATCTCTCTTGGCTCCTTGTATTTTCATTTAGGAAATTCATCCTGGATAACTGTTAAGAAGAAAGAAAGGCAAGCAAAGGTTCTCCTGATTATCCATGTCTGCTATTTCAGTGCAATAAGAACAGGAAGTCTTTTACCTGCAGGCTGTAATGCACAGGTCACCAAACACAAGGACTCACTTATTCCTGAAAAAGCCATTTCCCTCTCCAGACAGTGCATCTCAAAGTGCACAAAACAGGGTCCTGGAGCTGTTTCTCCTGGGAGGGAGCTGGGCACCTCAGGAGACCTTTCCCAAGGCTCAGAGAAGCAGCCCAGGGATGTAGGTGAAAGGCCAGCTCAGTGGATCAGTTTTCCAAAAGACCTTCCTGGCCCCCCAGCTTCCTCCCTTAAAGGCTCCCGGAGCAGGATCGCTTTTCTCAGCGCTCCACAGGCTCAGCCCAGCTCTGAACTAGCTGGGGGGAAATGTGTTTCTCTGTGCGCTGAAATCACTCATCTTCCAGTGCTGCAGGAGCACCAGGGACACAGCCAGGCTGCTGGCCAAGCACAGAGGAGAAGACACTGGTTAAACCAGGGCTTTTCCTCTCATGGGCTGCTGCCTTGGGCTCCCTGCAGGCAGCTGAGCCTGGCCCATCCCATTTGCCATGGACTCACAGTGATGGTTTGGGCTGGGAGGGACCATGAAGCTTATCCAGCCCCATCCCCTGCCATGGCTTCCAGTAGCCCAGGTGGCTCCAAGCCCCATCCAGCCTGGTCCTGGGCACTTCCTGGGATCCAGGAGCAGCCACAGCTTCTTTAGGCACCCTGTGCCAGGGCCTCAGCACCCTCACAGGGAAGAATTTCTTCCCAATATCTAATCTAAATCTCTCCTCTTTTAGTTTAAACCCCTTCCCTGCCTTGTCCTGTCAGCAGGCTTAGGATTTGTTGTTGACAGAGCATTGCCTCTCCCCTGTGAGATTTGGTCTTCAGGTTCTGGAAATTATAAAGTAAAATAATAATGGAAAGCCAAAATGCAGTCAGGTCCCAGTGACTACACCACTGCCATTCTTTGGCTTCATGCAGGGAGACTTTGGCCAGGGGTGGGCACTCAAAAGTTCAGAGGTTGCACACCAGAGCCCCATTCCGGGTTCAGATTGTTCTCTTTCTCATTGGGGTGGTTTTTCCTGTGTGTCTAACTTGTCACCCTCTGCACAGCCCTGTGGTTTACCACAACACGAATCCAAGAGCTCTCACACGTGGTGCCTCTCTCCCCAGAGCAGGAGTGCAGCAGTGCCGGGAGGAATCCCCTACCGAAGAGCAAACCGTCCCAGGCCCAGCCCCGAGCTCTCTGAGGAGGAGGCCAAAAGAATCGCCAGGATCTTCTCTGCTCAGCTCTCCAAGAAGGAATAGTGCTGGCACAGCAGAGCTTCCAAAGCCATGGCCGGATGCACGGGCAAAGGAGGAGCCCCCAGAAGAGGGGAGGTGGAAGCCACAGTTTTCAGGCTCTGCTTTGAGTTTGCCTAATTGGTTAGTTAATTGAAATCCCCTGTTTAGAAGGGCTGAAGCCACGGCCGGATGCACGGGCAAAGGAGGAGCACCCCAGTAAAGGGGAGGTGGAAGCCACAGCTTTCAGGCTCTGCTTTGAGTTTGCCTAATTGGTTAGTTAATTGAAATCCCCTGTTTAGAAGGGCTTAAAGCCTGTGGGCACCCCCAGGGAGCTGTGTCTTGTAGGGGCAGGTCCCCAGTGAGACACACCTCTGTGGGTAACCCATGATCCATCTGCTCTCCAAGTAGTCCAGTTTTAGGATTTATTCCTGTGAAATGGCCCTTTCAAAAACAATTGGTGGGCAACACAATTCTCTGCTTCCACAGGTGCCCAAAGTGCTTGTGTGAACACAGGCTAAGGGCACCGTAAAATCTGGTGGGTGTACAAAAGAGGGTGACTAGAAAGATGAGACTTTTATATTTATATTTAAATTATTTTTGTACACCTTTCAGAGAACAGACTTCGATGCCAGCAGAGCTCAGTTATTTTTGTACTGCTCTCTCCAGCGTTTGTTTCAATAAAATTCCCCTGGTTTCTTGTCAGCCTGTGCCAAGTGTCCATATGCCAGGGCAGGAACCTTTTCTCAACAGTAGACTGGAGTCTCTCCCACATGAGCTTCCAGGTCAGAGAAGCCCTGCTGGAATCAGGGGTGGCCAGGAGCACATGGAGAGGAGAGCAGGGCTTTGCCAAGGAATTGAGTGTCACCATGCAGCACAGCCCCCTGTGGGCTAAGTCACTTCCAGTCTGAGCTGCTTTTCAAACCACACGTGGAATTCAGGATTTCAGCAGCCAAAGGACCAGCATCCCTTTTTTCTCACACTTCTGCAGTGTTGTTTTTCCCAGGGGATGCCCTGAATGCGTCAGTCACTGCTGGCACAACTTGCCCTGTGCTTGTGGCCCCCTTTCCCTGCCCTTCCAGGGTCAGGATGGAAGGTAAAGGCACCCAGTGTCCCCTGGAAGGACAGGAGTGACGTGCAGGCTGCTTTCTCCTGGTGGCATCCCGAAAAAAGACTCAGGCAGGATGCCAGCTGGGCTGGGATGACTGCCATGGCCGAGGTCACAGCACTGACCCTGAGCTATATCTTGGGCATGAGGTAAACAGAGTCTTCCTTCCAGGTTTGGGTCAGCCGTGGAGCCGGGCAGGAAAACAAGGCAGGAGCCAGCTGGAGAGGCCTGTCAGTGCCAGGCAGCTTTTGTCTGGAGCCCAAAGGATGGAGCAAAGGTGGCTCCAGGGTGTCAGGACCAAAGTCCTCCTCGTGCAAGGCGAGCTCAGGCACGAGTGGAGGCTCGCAGCACATCCTGAGGCACATCCTTTCTGCATGTGGGGCTAATGAGCACCAAGGGTTAAACACACAGAGTTTTTAAAAAAGGGAGGAAAAGGGGCCTTTCTTCAGTCTACCTCGGCCTCCAGCCTCTTGTCCTGAGCCCAGTCCCTCCTGGCAGCCTCAGTCCCAGTGCCCAGCCACGCTCCCAAAGGTGTCAAGGGTTTGATGGTGGATTTTGCTCCAAGGTGTTCACCCGGCCCCAGCTCCACCTGAGCTCAGGGAACACATTCCACCACGCAGGGGCAATCCTGCTGGGAGCTCAGCAGCTGTCTGGGATGGATTGTGCCTCGTGGTCTGGTCGGGCAAAGGGATCCAGCCTGCCCTGCACAAAGAGCTCGGTGCTGCACTGCCCCCAAACCACTTGTGAAGCTTTGGGGTGAGGGTTTTCTGCATCTCGTCCTTCCCAGAGTGGTTTTAGGGTAAAAACCAACATTCCTCCCCAGTCCAGTGCAGGGGGTCTGGGCAGGACCCCCCTCCCCATGGCTGAGCCCCGGGAGGGGGGCAGAGGGCTGAAACAGCCACCTCGGTCGGGTGCCAGGTGACCCAGCCCCGTCAACTGAAATGCCACAGGGGGAACGCTGTTTTCCTGTCACCCGATCCGTGGCTGCTGGAATCAAGTGAAATGCCACTGGGGGAACGCTGTTGCTGTTTTCCTGTCACCCGATCCGTGGCTGCTGGAATGTCGCCCTGGGTGCTATATAAGGGTGGGGCCAGGGGCCGGCTCTCAGGGCACTGCCTATGCAAGGCAGGAGCTGAACACTGTGCCGAGATCCCTACGGTGAGGCCACAGAGGGACATGGCTCCGGGCAGGTCTCTCTGGGGGAGATGAACTCACCCAGCAACCCCTGCTATGGCTGGGGTGGGATAGGGAAGGGTGGGCATTGGCGATCCCCTGCTGAGCAAGCCCTGTGCCTCAGTTTCCCTGCGACAGAAGGGAGCAGACAGGGCAGGATACGGTTTTTGGGATTGACCAAAGCCACCAAGAGCCACTATGGCACATCATCACCTCCGTCGCCGAACAGGACACCCACGTGAAGCCCTGTCCTGATGCACCCTGCTGGCTCCCCCACAAACCCTCCTCTCCTTCCAGCCCCTCTGCCACCATGGTGGGTCTGAAGCCCCCCGAGGTGCCCCCGACGGCTGCCATGAAGTTCGTCAGCGCGGGGATGGCCGGCTGCATCGCTGACCTGTGCACCTTCCCCCTGGACACCGCCAAAGTGCGGCTGCAGGTACGATTCCCAAAACCCCCGGGCAAGGGGAGCGCCTGGGGACGTGGCGTGGGACTCTGCACAGCACCTCTGCCATGGAGCTGGGGACACCTGGGGAGGAGCGGAAGGTGGGTGATACAGTGGGCACCCCACAGATCCAGGGCGAGGTGAGGATCCCCCGCACCGTCAGCTCCGTGGAGTACCGGGGTGTTTTGGGGACGCTGAGCACCATGGTGAGGACGGAGGGAGCCCGCAGCCTCTACAGCGGGCTGGCAGCCGGGCTGCAGCGCCAGATGAGCTTCGCCTCCATCCGCATCGGGCTCTACGACTCTGTGAAGCAGCTCTACACCCCCAAGGGTGCTGAGAGTGAGTGTCCAGCACTTCCCTGCGCACCCCCTTCCTGAGGCACTGCCCTTTCCCAGAGAGGAACTCACCCTGGGGACACAACCCCCTGAGCTGGCCCTCCGTGAAGCACCACAGCCCACTCACCCTGGGGTCCCTGCAGGGCTGGGGGGCTCCACAGGGCCAGGAGTCCCAATACTTGTCCTTTCCAGACACAGGCATGGCCACGCGCCTCCTGGCCGGCTGCACCACGGGGGCTGTGGCCGTGGCCTGCGCCCAGCCCACCGACGTGGTCAAGGTGAGGTTCCAGGCCTGCGGAGCCCTGCCGGACAGCGCCCGCCGCTACAGTGGCACCGTGGATGCCTACCGCACCATCGCCAGGGAGGAGGGCATCCGCGGGCTCTGGAGAGGTAGGCGTGCACAGGCATGGGCGTGGGAATGGGACGCGGTGGGAGTAGAATGGAAGTGGCAACGAGGAGGGGAAGAAGGATGAGGGCAGCAGGGCTGGGGCACCTGCCCAGGATGCTCCAGTGGGGGCTGTGAACAGAGATCCCAATGCCACCACCCTCCTGCGCAGGGACGCTGCCCAACATTGCCCGCAATGCCATCATCAACTGCGGGGAGCTCGTCACCTACGACCTGCTCAAGGACGCGCTGCTGCGGACACAGCTCATGACAGGTGAGGACGGCACGGGGGGACACGGCCAGGCGCCATCCCTGTCCCTGCAGCATCCAACCCCCGGCTCTTCCCCACCTTTAGACAACATCCCATGCCATTTCGTGGCCGCCTTCGGCGCCGGGTTCTGTGCCACGGTGGTGGCATCCCCGGTGGACGTGGTGAAGACGCGGTACATGAACGCCAGCCCCGGGCAGTACCGCAACGCCCTGAGCTGCCTGCTGGCCCTGCTCATGCAGGACGGCCCCGCCGGCCTCTACAAGGGGTGAGTCAAGCACCTGCAAACCGGCTGCGATGACCGCACGGGCCGCCCAAATTCCCCCACCCACATGCAGGCCTTTGGGGATGTCCCTTCAGCCCTGCTTTTTCCGGCACAGCTTCGTCCCGTCCTTCCTGCGGCTGGGCTCCTGGAACGTGGTGATGTTTGTGTCCTACGAGCAGCTGCAGCGCGTCATGGTGCTGGCACGGCCGGCCGTGGCCTGAGCCCTCGGCGCCTCTCGCCGGCCCAGCGAGCCTCAGCATCAATTATATTAATTGCCGAAGCGCCGGGGAGCAGCACAGCCACACGCTCGGGGAGGGACCGGAGAGGCGCAAGGAGGAAGGATGTGTTCGAGGAGAAACGTGGGAGAACAGAAGTTTTCAGAGAAGAGTTTTAAGGGACGAAGGAAAAAATGTTTGTTGGCTTTCAAGCCGGGAAGAGCAGCACTTCCCGAGGGCAGTGGTGTGGGCAGGCGGGACCAAGCTGGGGGCCAGGGAATTCCCTTTATTCCTTACTGGCGCTTCAAATAAACCGCCCCTATGGGGTCTGATCACAGCGTGGCTCAGGGTGTCTTTACCTTTTCGGGGTGTTCAGGGTCATTGTCCCAGCTCCACATGTGACACCAGCCAAGCTGACATTCTCTGTCATTTCTGGGTCACTGAACAGCTTCCCATTGATCTCTAAATATTCAGGTCTGTCACAGTCACAAACAGCAGCTCCACCTTCTGCCCTGCCAAGGCAGCAGATCCTTGACCCACACCAATCTCCCTAAAGCCTCAAATGGTCCCTTTTTAGGACAGTGAAAATGTACATCCTAAGCAGGAGCGGACACAGAATTCCCTTTCCCTGTTTTCCAAGCATAAGACGGCTGGGAATTACTTTCTTCCCACAGGTAACTGGCAGGAACAAGACTTCCTCCGCTATCACTCCATCTGTGGCACCCTCATTTGCCACAGACACTCAGTTCTATTTCAGGGACTCCCATCAGAAAACTGATGACTGCTGTCAGATGCAAATTCCCGGGGCGGATTTCACTCCCTGGGGGCAGCAGGAATGACCAAGGACAGCTGCCGCCCCGGGAGAAGGCGGCGCGGTACCCGCGGGTCCGCCCTGCAGCGCGGAACGCGGGGGTCGCTCCCTGCGGCCGCCCTGTCCCTGCCGTGCCAGCGGCGGCTGTCCCGGGAACGGGAAAATCCCCTTGGCTCGGACAGCTGTGCCGGGAACGGGGAAAATCCCCTCGGCTCGGGCAGCAGCCCCGGAGCCAGCGGGCGGTGCGTTCAGGTGCGCGGCCGGAGGGAACAGAGGTGCCCGGGTGTCACCTGGGTGGGGTGGCACCCGCAGGGGGACGTGTGTGCCTTTGGCACTGCTGCGTGGGAAAAGCTGCTGTGTGGGACCAGCTTGTCCCGGGACTCTGAGGCTCTCTGGGGTCGTGTTTCATGGAATAAAACGGTGCCGCCTTCCCAGCTGCGGTGACAACGTTTTGTGGGATGGGCAGAGCTCCGTTTCCCGGGAGGCAGCGGGATGGGTGTCCCTGTGCCCACCCCCAGGGGTCCCAGGGAGAAGCTGCGTCTGTGGCCGAGCGTCAGTGGGGAAAACTGAACATTCCTGATGGAAACCGATGGAAAAACAAGCTTGGTTTGGTTTTGGACTTGACATTTTCCCTCTGACCCCCCACCTGATCCGGGTGTTCTGCCTTAGGGAACAGGAGACAGAGGGGGGAATGGGGAAAAGGATTATTTGTTACCCCAAAAGGGACGAGCTTATTTCTATTTATTTCCTGATACAGCTGGAATGATTTGGGTCTCAGGAGGCACCTGGGAGCCTCATTTTGAGTCCTGGGTGGAGCCGTGGTTATAAAAGGGGTAAAGGATGGCGGGAGGGGGGGCTCGGGGGGGAGAGGAGCAGTGGCTGGGATCAATGCCGCCGCGGGGATTTGCATCTGGAAGCGGCCATCGGTTTCCTGATGGGAGTCCTGGAAGCAAAACTCCGTGAGAAATGGGAATACTGCAGCTGGAGTGCTGGAAGCGGAGAGTCTGCAGTGAACGCCTGGTGAGTCTCCTGATGCCCCATTAATGCTGTGCTGGCACCAGGTCAGCTCATTCCCATTTAAACTGTCTTGAAATACGCTTAAATTACAAATTGGGCTACAAAATGCACGTGGAGAGCTCCATGTTCCTAAGGGAATGCTCTAGGGATGTGCAGCTTCTGAACTGCACAAATAACTCCTGCTCCCACCGAAACCTGCTGGCTCTAGGGCACGAGTGGCAGAAAGTGGCAGCTCCAGTGCCAGCCTAGCAGTGATTCTCCTTGGGGCTCTCAGGATCGGGAGGAAATGGTGTTCACGGGAAAGCGCGGGGCAGGATCAGTGCCGCAGCTGTTTCCAGGATGCCCTGGAGGGCTCTGGCTCAGGATAATCTGTGTGTAAGAGCTTCCCTGCCTGTGCTCAGCTGGCTCAGTCACTGCGCTCCCAGGGAATCCCCGAGGTTGGAAAAGCCCTTTGTCATGCTGGAATGCCCCCAAGCGAACCTTCCCAAGCTGGGAGCAAAGCAGTGGCAGGGAGGGAAGTCCAAGAGGGTGGTGGGAAGGGTTTTCTCCCACTCTCGAGGCAGGGGTGGTTTTTAAATGTTTTGAATGCTGCAGCAGCTCCCTCCCTACATGAGAGCTGCCTCAGCCCGGGTGAGTGTGAGGATGTCCAGCTCTTCCTCAGGGCTTGGAGCATGGCAGCGTGCACAGCTCATGTTAAATCTTGTTTAAATGTAAAGTTTTAATATCAAAATACATCAAAACAGAGACTTTGAGGAAATAACATACAAGTCTGTTGCAGGCAGGGGTACAAGCTGTCTTTATTAAAGATCCACGTTGATGGATGTTTTGTCAAACCACTCTGGGGACAGAAAGTGTCCAAAAAGCTTCATTAATCCTTTGCATTCTGCTGGTAGGGCAGCGTCTGACCCCAGGTCTCGGGAGCTGTGTGGAGATTCCTCCCTGGAGCAGGGTCACCCCGTGGGGATGAGCCACAGGGATTCAGTCGTTGGACCAGGTGAGGATCTCTTTCTGCTTGGTGATTGCTTCTGCTGGATTTAATGTCACATCTGCAGTGCTGCTTCAGACCTGTGCCCTGCAACAGCACTTACAGCTCCTGTGCTGGGCAGAGGGAAATGGACCTGTGGAAAATTTTCAGAGTTTGACAGGAAATTCATATAGTATGTATCTGTATGTAAACTTTGAGATAAGAAATGATGACTTAGAAATGCCATGGAATAGGACAGACATTGTTGAGAGAGAAATGGAGCTAGAAATGAGTTTTAAAGGATGACTTTGTAAATAAGACTGGATACTTTAGAGAAATAGAACTATGAAAGATGCACTGTAGTAAGATTCACGAGGGGTAATTTTAGATTATTGGCTTTAAGGCATTTACAGCATGGTGTGACAAAAACTGATAGGACAAGAAATGCTTGTAATTATTGTAATTAGGAAATAGCTGGCTTCTGATTGTGAAGGCCTGAATTATAACATCTGTATTGTCTCACCCTTCTCATGAGACTGAAAATGGAATAAAAGATTTCAAAATGCTTCTCAGTTAACTTATTTCTGGGTCAGAAAAGGGCATAATCTGATAAATTGGTACTTTGTGTGAGGAGGATTTATCAGACTAAGCCCTTTTCTGGCCCAGAGACTGAACAACTTTTATTCCATTTTCAGTCTCATGTGAAGGGTGAGACAGTTTTCCTAAACTGAAAAATTGAAAGTGAGGTGGGGAGGGAAAGTTGCTTTTCATTCCTTTAAGTATTGCTGTGGATTTTGGTATGTCAGGTAACCCTATCAAAATAGAATTGGAATAACTGAACTTCAGGACTCTGCACTTAATTCCTTTAATGTGTTTGTGTGAGTGCAGGAGATGCCAAATCCCAAAGCAATTCTATGTCTGTAATATTAAGTGCAGCATCTTTAAATCCAAGTGCTCAGTGTGGGCTTTTCACATGGATGCAAACGGTATAAAGGCCTTTCTTGTGCCCCAAAAGCCAACAGGAACCCACCAGAAGCAGACCTTCATTGCCTGTCTGGGATTTCAGTTTGCTGTTGGATTCTTCCCTCCAATCTTCTCTCGGGATTTTGTGCCAAAGGGGATCTGACCCCAGAGCCATGCAGGGTGTCTGCTGCCTTGATAAATGTCAATGAAATTTGCCAAGTCTGACAGGAAAGCAGAAACATCCTGGGGGTTGTTTGGTCAAGGACAGAACATGAAGATGTCCATACTAGTAGTGGGTGTGAGTGCTGCCAGTTTTGGGTTGTGTGGTGCCTCTGGTCCCTCAGAACTCAGGGCAAGGCTGAGGCAAGGAGCAAAGCTGCAGGTGAGGGCAATTTGGGCTGTTTCAAACTGCTTGGTCCAGACCTGGAAGTACTGGAAGGAGAGCTTTCCTCCTTCTTTCTCTCCATCACCGAGCAGAACACTAAGATGATGCTGCACTAAGCTCTCTCTGATGTGGATTGTTATTTGGTTGGTTTTTGGGGTTTTTTTCTGGCTTTTTAATGTATTTCTAAGTGGTGCAGTGAGGAGCAAGTTGCTGGGTTACATGACTTCTGACATATCACAGAAATGGGCATGCATGTGGGCACGTGCTTCCTGGCCAATCCAGGTGGGACGTACAAATCCTGAGTGAGGATTTCCAGCCTCAGCTACATGTGACACAGGCTTCAGGAAATGGCCTTGGCAGAATGGCAGCTGTGAAGCAAGGCAGAACTAAAATGCCTGTAAGCAGAACAGCCAAGTGAAATGGTAATTCTTGGTCCTGTGTGCACCTCTTGCCTCTGCCTGCTGTGAACACTTTGTGTTGCAGCTCAGTATTTCGGTCCATTTCAGTGTTTGGTTTGACTTTTGTGTGTAACTAAAACACTGGTCAGTTACTCTAAACAGCTCCCCTCCTTTACTGGACACAGCCCTGGAGTGGGACCAGACTCCCTCTTAGCCAGCAGGAATTCCCTGCTCCTCTGGAGAGGGGCTGAAGCCAAAGCTCAGGAGCAAAGGACAACAACCCGGGGCACTGTGTCCTAGATGCATCCAGCACCGTGCATTTTCCATGTTCTCAGCACTGATGAATCTGAACAAGATTTATTTTTCACAAGATTGCCTGCTCCTTCACTTCTCCAGCTCTCCCCCGACACCTCCCCTGCTTCCTCTACTTTTATCCTTGGTGTGCCAAGCTCCTGCATCTCCCTGGCCCTCCAGATGTAGCTTGTCCTGGCTATGGCTGATAGAATATTATTTTTTTAGCAGCAATCCATTCTTTTAAAGAACACAAAGTTTTATTGATATAAACTATATCAATGCAGAAGTGTGTTTAGGAAATATATCCAAAGAAAGGACTCTGTCTTCCTGCTGTTCCTGTAGTTCTCCTTCGTGTTTTTACCTGGGCTGGAAGGATGTGCATGGCCTGCATTTATCACATGAAAGTGGTGTTACTAAATTTGTCCAGAAGTTCTGATTGTAGACACTCATTTTGTGACAGAAAACATTTTTGTTTCGCCTTTCCCCTGTTGTTTCCAGGTGCTGCCCAGGATGGCTCTCTGTGCAGTGCTCCCCAGGAGGAAGGGCAGCCTTTGCCTGGCCTGCACAGCTCGGGTGGATGTGACAGGGTTGCTGTGGCCTGACAAGGCATGAACAGCTGGCTGTGTCCTGGAGTGCCTTGAAGCCTTTTTCTGTCAGGTTTTGGAGGGGTTTCTCTTTGGGACTTCTTGTGATGCAGCATCCTGGGTGTCCCTTCCTTTGTTCCAAGTCCAGTGGTAAAGGACTGACAAGTGAGGTCCTGGGATGAAAATAGTTCTGTTAATATTAGGCAAAGAATGCAATAAGAAAAATTAGCTTCCTTTTAATGTCTAAAATAGTTAGAAATAAAAATGCTGGAAAAGGGCACTTTTATGTTAGAATTGGTGTCCCTTCTCATGGATAAAACCCCATAGTGAGCAGTCAGAGCAGAAATATGAAAGCTGGGATCCTTTAACTTCCGCAGTGGACTTCATTTTCTTTTCCTCCTCTCTTTCAGGACAGGAAAAATCATCAAACTCTCCCATCTTTGCTGAAAGCTTTGGCGTCTAAGCAGCCAAAGCCAAGAGGCTTCAGCACCAGGGGTCTGCGCTGGAGGGCTCCTGGTCCTGCCCACGCTGTGGGGTAAGCCAGAGGGACACAGCGTTCCTCTTTTCCTCTGCTGGGATTAACTGCCTAGGGAATGCCATCTCTGACACCCCAGCCCTACCCGTGTCTGCTGGAAGAGGGCAGAGGTGAAGAGGCAAATGCCAGAGTTCCCTGGGATGATGGAGTTGTGGTGTTTGGCTGTGTCCAGAGGGGCAGGCTGGGCATTGTTTGTGCACCGAGGCTGTAGGACTGGGGTGATGACTGCTCTCAGCAAACACTATTTATTAATACTGGGCAGGAAAGGTGAGGGTTTGGATCAGGAATTCTGCAAACAAGGCCTGTGTGATGGTTGATTTATTGCGCTTTTCAGTGAGCAGGGCTGGCACAAGAACTCGACTCGTGCAGGTCCTTGCTGCCCTTTGGAGCCATTGTAAAGATGTGATTATAGAACATTTTGGAGGCTGTTTCCAGAATTCCATGTGTAGCTGCATCTCGCTCCAAGTGCAGCAGCCAGGTGAGGGTTCTTTCCTCTCCAGACTTGTGCTCACCTTGGTACAGCCTTTAAAGGAGTGAGTAGTGGCTATAGCTCAAGAGTTTCTTCATTAAAAGGCAATATAGAACTCTCTAACCCAAGGGACAGTTGCCACAGAGTTTATTTCACTTTTCTAACCCATCACTTTCACTGAATTCTGCTGCACTGGGGGTACCTCTGCTCAACAGGCTCCTGTCTCACCTGCACACTGTTACAATGCTTCTGTTAAATCCTGAGCTCCTGGCCACTCTACACACCCACCCCCTCACGTCATAAACCCTTCACCACCTTTACAGCGTCTCATTTATTTAAAGCAACTCTTACTTACAACCACAGAATCAGAAGTTTATGATTTTTCTGCTTCATGTCTGTGCATTGCATTTCTACATCAATCCAAGCTTCTTCCAAGGCTGCAGATCAAATCTTCTGGAGTCTCTGGAAGTTTCTGGTTTTCCAACTCCCACATCTCCCCTCTCTCTCTGCATTAAGAAATTTTTAATGACTTTATTAAGCATTGGCTGTACATATTTATGTAAATAAGGTGTCATTATTAGCAGTAGCATTATTATAGTAATTAAAATGTACAATTTTGTTATTTTTTTAAACTATGGTGTTAAAATTTATTTATTAAATAAATTTAGTTAAGTTTTATTATTTATTCTTATTTGTAATATATTTTAAAGTTGTATATTTTTATAAATATATTGTGAGGGATTAGATAATTTTATATATTTTATTAACATTCTTATATTTATATTTGTGTGTTAATAAAATAAAATTTATTGTTTTGTAAAACTACATGTTTAATATTTTTTATATCTGTTAAAAAGTTATTTTATGTAAGGGATGTAGTATTAGATTTTTTACTTAGATAATATGTTAATTTATTTGTTTTAGTGTTGCTGTTGAAATAATAGGTGGTATAAAAAGTGATGCTACAATTTTTTTTTAAGGTTTGAAATTATTTTTATATTTTGATTAGTACTGATGGAGAAATGATTTTCGATGTTTTATGTGGGTAATTATTTTTATATTAAGAGTTAATAATGTAAGGGTTTTTGAATTATATGGATTATTTTTAGATAATTTTATATATTTTATTAAAATTTTTATATTTATATTTGTGTGTTAATAAAAGAAAATTTATTGTTTTGTTTTGTAAAACTTCATGTTTAATATTTTTGATATCTGTCAAAAAGTTATTTAATGTAAGGGATGTAGTATTAGATTGTTTACTTAGATAATTTTTAATTTATTTGTTTTAGTGTTGCTGTTGAAATAATAGGTGGTATAAAAAATGTTGCTACAATTTTTTTTAAGGTTTGAAATTATTTTTATATTTTGATTAGTACTGATGGAGAAATGATTTTCGATGTTTTATGTGGGTAATTATTTTTATATTAAGAGTTAATAATGTAAGGGTTTTTGAATTATATGGATTATTTTTAATGCTTTTTATTGGTATATTGTTTAAGTAAGTAAAGAATGGATTGTATTGAGTAGTGATAGATAAATACAAAGTATTTAAACTTGAAACTTTAGTTAAAGTTACTTAAATGTTTGTTTTAGGCTGGTTAATTGGTAAAGTTGTATAATTAAAAGTAAACAAAGTAAATAGAATAGAAGTAGAATCTTTGATTGAATTTTATATTTTTAAGTTATTATTTAAGAGTTTTATAACATTATTGATTTTTAAATTTATAAAGAAACTTAAAGTTTATAGTTTTTTGTGGGTGTAATATAAGACGTTAGGTGTAAGGTGGTATTTTTGTGTAAGTTACATTTTCGTTATGTAATTTACATTTGTATTTATGTTGTGTAATTTACATTTGTATTTACCTTGGTTTTTTATTGGTGGAGTGGTCAGTGTAGTTTATTGTGTGATGTGGTTTTATGTTTTTTATTGAAATTCATTTGGGTTTTTGTACTTGTTGAGGTATAAGTGAACTTTATGTTTTGATATGAGAAATAAACTATTGATACATTTTGTTTTATAAAATTGTACAGAGATTTGTAAGATAATTATACACATTGTTATTATTATAATTTTTGTTATAAGTATGAAGAAATATTAGAGTAAAATAATTTATGTAGTAAAGGAGAAATTAATAATAATTAGGAATTATTTAGATAATGCACATAATTAGTAACAGATGTGAAATTATATAATTATTAAGTATTAAAACATTATCTATTATTTTAGAGTTTGTAACAGTTGATAAATTTTAAATTAGTGGAAGGTTGCAAATTTTATTTGGAAATTATTTTTTAGGTTTATTTAAGAAACAGGTTTAGTTGTTATGTTGATAAAGTTAAAATGTTAAGTTAAAATTATTTGAATTTTACTTTTGATGTAGAAAATATTTGGGTTTGTTGTTAATTATTTTATTTAGGTAGAGTTAGGTTTTGGATATAGTTTAAATTTTAAATTTAGTATATTTATTTAGTATATTTTAATATAATATTTTTAAAAATAGCTATGAGTAAAAATTTTAGGAATAGAGATGTTTTGAATATATTAAACTTTAAAAAAATATTTGAAAGTGGTTATAGACAGGATTGTGAGTTTGGATTTGGATATTGTGAGTGTGAGGGTGGAGGAAATGTAGTTGTATGAGAGATTGATTACTTAGTATGAAACCTAGAAAAATAATGTTACAGGTGGATTTTTTATTGAAGTGCTTTTGTAATAATAACAGAGGAAAGTTATAAGATTAATAGTTTGGAGGAGGTTTTTAATGAAGTTTAATTTCTTTTTGATTTTGAAAAATATTTAAAATTATGAGATAATATTAGGTTAAATTATAGAGTTCATGTAGAGATTAGTTAGAGAGTTAACTTGGTTTAAGAGATGTATAAGTAGTTAAAGAATAAAAAAGTAGGATTTAGAAATTATGTATTTTTGGATAATTATATAAAGAGATAGTAAAGGATATTTAAGGCAGTTGTAAATATTATTATTTTATAAGTAATATTTATTATAAAAATATTTGTATTATATAATAGTATATTAGTAGTAAGTGTTTGAAGAAGTTAACTTTTAAAAAATATTTATATTAAGGAAATAGAGTAAAAATTTTTAACTAGTATGATATTAATAGTAATTGCTGTTTTTTGGTGATATTTATAAAAGATAAAAATAGTAGAGATTGTAATGAATAGAATTTTTGATTAAATTGATGATGTAATAAACTGTATTTGTTTTACTTATATGTGTTTGTTAGTGTTTTATTTTAGTTGTTTTAATTGGAGTTGTTTTATTTTTTTAAGAAAATTAACCATATACTTGTTTAGATAAATTATTTTTAATCAAATTTAGCAGAAGTTATATTAAATAACAATTAAATTGAAAATGAATGAATTCTGATACTAAGGAGTAACAAACTTTAATAGAATATTAAAGTGATCAAGTGTAATTTAAGAATATCTAGACTTAAATGTAGTGAAATTTCATTGTGTTTGACTTTATTAACTGTTAACTTATTGAAGGTTGTTATTTATACATATTGAAGTTCTTAAGGTATTTTGGTTTTGGAGAAATTTTAGATTGTTGAGTTACTGTTATTACCTATGTCTTTACATTGTGGTTTTATTTATTATGAGACATGTTTCTTGGTAAAATATTTTTATTTATGTTATATTTATAATGGTACTAATTTGTATAGTGTGGGGTTTTTTTGTATTTAGGATATTGATTAGATTGTTTTTTGTTTTTGTGATCTTTGAGTAATATTTACTTATATGTTTAGGGTTTTTATATTTGAAGTATTTTTGATGGTTTTTGTTACTTATTAAATAGTTTTTGATTTAGAATTTGAAGTGTGTGGTGTTTGGAGGAAATAAATTTGGGGGGTTTTTTTGGATATGGTTGAGTTGTATTTTTAATGTTAGTAAGGGCTACTTTTGGAATGTTTGATTTTTTTTGGCTATGGGGAGGGTCTCTTGTGTAAGCCTGAGACTGGTATTAGGAATTTTTGTTTAATTTTTTTGATATGGTTGAGTTGTATTTTTAATGTTAGTAAGGGCTACTTTTGGAATGTTTGATTTTTTTGTTTGGCTATGGGGAGGGTCTCTTGTCTAAGCCTGAGACTGGTATTAGGAATTTTTGTTTAATGTTTTAGGAGCCTGTTAAGGAGCAGGTGGTATTTTAAATTTTATAAAATACACTGAGAAATAGTTAAAATCATGGAATAGACATTATGGTAATTAAAGGGTGTTGTGTTTAAAGAGTTATAAATCTTTTTTAATAACTGCTTGAAATAAGGAGAGCTTAATCTACTTTTTCTGCCCCCATGAATGGCATGACCTGTGCCCACTGCTCACGATTCACCCAACCAAAATCAAGAGCAAAGATTGATTGGGCTTTAAAAACTTGAAATAACTTAGAAGCAAAATAAGTCACATTTTTCTCCTGTGTTTTTTTCTTTCAGATGCTGGACTTACCTCTGTGGACGTGCGCTGAGCTCTCACTGCAGGAACCTGTCAGGCCTCGATGGCTGTGAGTTCATGTCGGGCTTTAAAAACTTGACATAACTTGGAAGTAAAATAAGTCACATTTTATTCCTGTTTTTTTTCTTTCAGAAGCTGGACTTACCTCTGTGGAGGTGTGCTGAGCTCTCACTGCAGGAACCTGTCAGGCCTCGATGGCTGTGAGTTCATGTTCTTCCCACTGGGGAACTGGAAATAATTGTTAATTAATTGCAGAATAAATTAATTAATTAAAGCTTTCCCCTTTTGTGCCCTGCTGTGTGAGACAAGGGCAGAGGGAGCGAGCAGAGGAGAAAGGCAAAGGGGCCTCCCTGGTGTCACCAGGGCACCTGTGGGGAACAGGAGGGACACTGAGGGCAAGAGGAGGTGAGGAGTGGACACTTTGGGGCAAAACCCGAGTTCATCTGCGGGGGAATGAGTAAGGGATATTTCGGAGGGGAAAGCTGAGGAGATGAGCTCCCCCAGCTGGGCACAAAGGGGGACCAGAGGTGAAGGCCAATCCAAAGCCAGCCCCGCTCAACCTCTAAGTCCCAGAGCCAATTCTACAAGCTGCCCATTGAGGGACTAAAAATACATAAAAACAGAACCAAGGGCAAACCCGAAGGTTCCTGGGAATCCCATTACAGCGTTGTTATAGCCTTTCTAACAGATGTTTAGGTTTTTTACTAGAATGCTGGATTTGTCTGTTGGAATCATTGACTCTGTGGGGTTTTTTGGGGTTGAACTCCCTCACGCTGGCCCTGACACTGCTGAGGAGCTGGGAGGAAAAGAGTCAGAGCTCCTGGCAGGGGCACGGTGTTTTCCCCCAGCCCACCAGCCTGGCCAGCAGGGATCTGCCTCCACTCCTGGCTTCTGCAGGGAAAGATGTTTTCAGCTGGCTCAGGTCACATCCAGCGGCCTCCTCTCCTCTGCCCCTCCTGCTCCCAGCTCCAGCCCAGCCGGGCCCAACTGTACCGAGGGGAATTTGTCCCACCAGCAGCAGGGCAAGGACACAGCGTGCCACCCTGGGACTTGGATTGTCCCTCTGGATGCTGGCTGCTGGGATTTAGATCATTCCATACACTAGGCTGCTGAAGTTTCCCATCCCGGGGCTTTAGCTGACAGGGCAGCACAAAGGTTGTTCTCTGCGCGGTGCCCGGATTTGGGATTCAGTGTCTGCTAGTTCAGAGGAATTATACCCACAGCCCCATATTCCCTGCTGAATTCCTGCTGGAATAACCTGACAGCTCCTTGTGGAGGTGCACATCCCTGCCCTCAGCACACCTCCAGTGAGACCCACCTGCGAAAGTCTTCCACCTCTTCTGCACTTCCAGCTGGCTCCCTAAAAAGTTCCAAACATCATCCCAACTCAAACATTGATTTTAAGGCATCTCCAAGGCCTATTCCTTGGGATTTAATATCTACAAGGGAAGATTGCTTTAGCTTTAATGGTGCTGATGGACAGCGGCCTCAGACAAGAAAGGAGGGAAGAGATTTTGGGTGGCCAGGACATACCTGGTAGGTGCATGGGAACACTGGGAGGTGAGAAACAGGAATTGCTGTCTGAGCCCCTCTGCAAACAGCCCGTGCCATTCCCAGATAATGCCAGCTGCTCCTCGGGGTTCTTCTGGGCTGTCAGTGGTCTCTGCCCGGGCTGAAGCATCTCCATGTGCCTGTTCAGAGCCACAGGCAGCCCTTTAGCCGCGTCCGTGCCAGCGCTCTCCGGGTATCCCGGTGCCCGTGCGCCTGGCATGCTGCATGCCACGGGCAGGACGCCGCAGGGACAGCTCCTCCCCTGCAGATCCCAGGGACACGAGGTGCTGCCTACCTTCCGGGCCTCCTCCATTCCCACACCGGGCACAGCTGGAGCCGGTCCCAGCGGCCGTCCCGGAGCTTGTTCGGCAGAGCTCCCCCCAGGATGCGGACACGGGAGAGGCGGGCGCTGCTGCTCGCAGGGAGCCCGGTGGCCGCGGGGCTACCGGGGCCGGGGGCTCGGTGTCCCACGGGGCGGGAGGCGACGGTGTCGGAGGGTCCCGTGGCCGGCACGGCGGTCCCCGCGCCCTGCCTGCTTCCAGCCGCGATCCAGCGGCTGCTCCAGGGAAGCACCGGTCTCCTGGCGGGCCCAGCACCGGCATCCCCCGGCTCCGTAGCGGGAGCGTGCCCGGAGCTCCGGTGGGACCCCAGCCCCGCACCGGGCTCGGTCCCAGCGCTCGTCCCGGAGCGGCTCCTCCCGCCCACGGCGGTGCCGGCCCCGATCCCAGCCCCAATCCCTCCTCGATCCCCCGGCCCCGGCACCCACACCCTGCTTGCCGAGGAAGAAGCGGCTCTGCCCGGCTCCCGCAGCCGACACCGGCAGGACCGGGACCCCAGTCCCCGAGCCCAGATCCCGATCCTACCTGAGCGCGTTGGACACCGCGCAGCGGCGGGAGCAGCCCCCGGTCCGGATCTCCGCGCAGCGTTCCAGCGCCGGTCCCGCAGCGAGCCGAGCCGAGGCTGCGCGGGGCGGGGCCTTGGGGTATTTAAGGCGCGCTGAGGGCGTTGAGGAGCCATTTGCTCCTCGGCGTTCGGTGGGGAAGGTCGCTGCCGGGCCGCGCCGCGCCCTATATCTCTTTTTCGCTGTATTTCTTATGCGTTTCTTTTCTTTTGTGTTTCTTTTTCTCTATGCCTCTCCTTTCTACCCTCCCTTCCTCCCCTCCCCCACCCCCTACACCCTCCCCTGCTGTCCCGCACACCCCGACCTCTCCCCACCTGCCCTCTGTCCTTGTCACCTTCCCCTCAACTACCCCTCTGCTGCCCTATTCCCGTTCTCCATCCTCCGCTCTCCTCCTTTCCTCGCAGCCACGGGGCGCCGGGCAATAATAAAGGTCTGGGCGTTAAATAACCTCGGCCCCGCCCCGCGCAGCCGCCCTGGGGTCCCGCGCACCTGAGCTGGTCCCGCCCCGCGCACCTGAGCCCGACCCGGGACCCACCCCTGGAGCCCCGCCCGGGCCCGCCCCCAGCCCCGCCTCACGCAGTCCCGGCCCCGCCTCACCGGGAGGGAGGCGCGACCATCGCTCACGGCCCCGCCCGTCTCCCCGGGGCCGGAGCGCGGCTGCTCCCGGGCCCGCGCGGAGCCCGGCGCGCTGGGGCTGGGCCGGGGATGGCCCCGGGCGTTCTGGGTCGCTCCTGCCGGTGTCGGCTGGGGGTCCCGAGCGGTGCCGTGTCTCCCCGGCGGTCTCGGGGCCGGAGGAGCGGGGCGGCACTGGGCGGGCATCGGGACCGGGATCGCCGCGGGCGGCAGGAGCCGCTCCGGCCGGGGCTGTGCCTCTGGCCGCGCACGGGAGGGCGGCGGCGTTTCCCCCGTGCTGACTGGAACCGGCCGTGGGGACCCTCCGTGCCGGCCCCAGAGCCCCCAAACCCCGCCGCTCCAAGGGATTTTTTTCCCCAGTGTAGGCCGAGAATTCTTTATGAGAAAACTCAAAGGTCAGGGACACGGGATCTGAGGGGAGAGGAGAGATTCTGGTATAAATTCAAAACACACTGAAAAATAATATGGAACAGCTCATTTCCTCTCCCAGACTGGTTTCTGTGTGATCATCCGTGATTCCAGCTGTTCCGATGGCATTTTCTACCTGTGGGGCTGTAACAACTTGCCAGGTGCTAAGCACAACAGAAAATAATGGGAAAACTCTCTGGATCACAGTGGAGCCTCTCAGTAGTGTCCCAAAAGTCTACCAGTGCCCTGCACCTCTGGATGGAAACCGAGGGGTTCCAGCACAGCCCCTCTGTAGTGTTCCTCTGGAGCTGACACTTCCCAACATCCCTGACCAGGGTTTGGAGCCCCGGCCCAAACTGGATCCCGGCACAGGATCCTGGCATGCTCAAAGCCCTTATCAATAACTTGCTTTAATTAACCAACTCAAAAGTAAGTAACATCACATTGATACAGTATGATTCCTTTTAATTCAGTTATAGATAAATATTGCAGAATATAAAAACCTTTCTAAACCCAGAAACTCTTTTAAGAGATAGACAGGGCACAGCTGCAGACTCTTGGGATTCAGGGGAAAACCCCAAAGTTTTCAGTCTTCAGCATCTTCCACTGTGTCGTCATTGACAGCAAGCATGGCTTCAGCCTCAGGAAGACACAGGGAGTCAGGGATTTTACAGATCCTGGTCTCACCTCAGCCTTTCAGCTGGTACAATCTGCAGGGAGAGGGAAGACAATGGGTCAGAATGGACACCCTCCTTCCAGAAAATCATCACAATTCATAAAGCGTTACGTAGAGCTGTAAGAACTTCCCCAAAGGTTCGTTTCCTTGCGGACTGAGGGCTCTAAGTTGAAGCACAGGCTGGACAGACTACGGGAACCCCAGAAGTAAAAGCTGCTCGGCCAATTCCATAAACATTCCAAAGTCAGGCTGCTCACTTGGTGGTGGCAGCACAAGTAAAGATCTTCCCTCCTGTGGGTTTTTTGCGATCTGCAGTGAACTGCAGGGGGAAAAAACCAAAACCCAAGTATCTCCCACGACTGGAACAGAAAAGTGGGGAAAAGGATGGAGGGGCACTCCTGGTGTGAATAACTGGGATCCCACCTCTCCAAACCAATGGAAGCAGAGACTGGGTGACAAAGCCTTTGGGAACAATTTGCTGGGATTCACAGGAAAACTGATGAGTTTTACTGTGGCAGTAAAGCCAAGCTGGGTACAGCAGCAGCATCCACAGGAACCTGGCCAGGAGAATCTGCCTGGCAGAGGGCTCCCCACTTCCTGGGAATCTGTGTGGGACAGGGCACTGTGGTGCTGGCCATTAAAACAGTTCCTACCTGTCCTCTCACAAGGCAAGATGGTTTTTCCACACAGCAAATGTTTTTTGAATTAAGAAGATAACACTACACTCAACTGGAGAAGAAAAAAGTGAGATCTGTTAAATTTTCCTAAGCCAGGCAAAAAAGAAAACCGAATCATACCAAAACCCAACAATAATAATAATAAAAAAAATAAGCATATTTCAAGAGAGTTTAAATCAGAATGAGAGGATTTGAAAAGCTGCAAGACTGCAAAAATCTAACGCTGCAAAAAAAGCCTTTTCTTACATCACATTTTATCCCTGAACTTGCAAAAAGCCCCCACCAAACTAACAATTCACCTCATATAGTTATTGAGTCATTCCTGTCTTTGAGCACAAGTCCAGCTAAAGCTGTGGAGACAAGGACAACATAAGTGACTCAATGCTGTTCCTTTGGAAATCACAGGGAGGTTTTTCATTAGCTTAGGAAAATGCACACCCAGTTCAGTAGATACTGAATAGCAGGGAAGTCAGGAGATAAATGGTTTGCTTTCAGAGACAAAAATTTAAGTAATATTTACATTAAACCAGAAGTCAACAGATTGTCTGATCTGAAGTCTTTATTAAGAAAAAAAAAGCCCTGGGTATCCTTTTGAGGGACGTAAAAGGAACTCCTTTGGCTGGGACACAGCCTCAGCCAGCACTGCTCCCCCACCACGCAGGCCACCCATGGCTTTCAGCTCTTCCACAGTCTTTGCAATGTTACCACAGATCCCGGAGGATCACAGGGCCAGCTTTCACCTTTGCCCTTCTCCTGCAGTTCAGCAGGCATCTCCTGTCAGACCTGCCTTTGCAGAGCAGCCACACGTGACTCCACAGTGGTCAGTCTTGTCTCCATAACTTTGAATACCATATCCACCTGCAAAACAACCAGGCAGAGCTACTGGGTTACACACAGAATTTGATAACACAAAGAGCATGTGTGGATGCCAGAAAGGACTCAAATCTCATCTCACATCACCAATTCTTTTCATTTGACTCTTTCCCTGCTACTTTCATACTGTGGAAGCTCACCCAACTCTAACATTCACTGTCCACTTTTTCCAGCCTTGGTGTCAGAGCCACACACTCAGCTTTTGCTGGACAACCTTCAGTTTCCTTACACTATTTACTCCCAGCTCTTCCTACCTACAGTCACAAGATTTTAGTACAGCAAAACATCAACTTGATTTATGATGTTGTATTTCAACACAAAGCTACAGCAAAAGCATTAACTCCATTTGCACAAATGGCAGAAGAAACATGACTAAAAGTTAAGTGAAGATCTGGAGAAGTGAATCAGAACTAACTAGAAACAACATATCAAATTACTGAGACATAAATAGGAACCTAATGCTGTGCTTGATAAACAGAAAATGCTAATTACCATGAAAATTGAAGGAAAAGTTACTGAAAATCTTGCATAACACAAGATACCAATGACACGAAGCAGACCAGTACATGCTGCAATGCACTGAATTGCTCTGGGTGAAATCAGCTGTTCTGCAGAAGCTATTGAAGCACATTAAGGTTTCACAGAGGTGATTTAAACAAAGAATGATGTAAGGTTAAATCTCACCTTTTCCAGCACATCTTGCAAGACAGCTTGACTTTCAAGAGTAAGTGGCTCCTCATCAATAACAGCTTGCTTCCCCGGGGTCCCTAGAATGTAACTGAGATGCCACAGTTCAGATCATGCATTTCCCACTCTGAAGCCAAAAATGCCAACACAGCACTCCCCAGAACCCTGAGAGATAGCCATGGATTCTGGTGCTGCAGGATGCAGTGAAAAATTGCAGAGACACCAAAAACAGTGCAGAACTGGCTGAGAGAAACAGCATTACTCTCCAAGAAAAGTGCCATTCTGCAGCCAGGTCAGTGCTTTAGAGAATTTAACTACCAAAAAATAAGAATTGGAATTAAGGAAAAAAACCCAAAAGCACTGTCCAGAGCACGAGGGTGAACATCGACAGCAATACAGAAAATACATGGGAACTTCAGAAAAAAACACAGACATTAAAACTAGTTCAGGTGAACACTGTCCATTAGAACAATGCTTGCACGAAAGAACTCTGGCATAAAGCCTTGATTCACTATATAGTTAGTGAAGAACACCCTAAGACCACTTTTAAGTGCTATAAACTGACTAAACCCAAGCACACTTTCATTTTCTAGACAGATTTTAAGACCGCTGACTGAGAGTCTCCAGCACATACTCAGTTGTCAGATTTGCCTTTGCCCCCCCCCTCTTCGCAAGGACAGAGCAGATGTGGCCAGCACAGGTCAGACCCACCCCCAGTTGTGCCTGAGCCCCTCTGCCCACACTTCCTGCGGGTAATGCTGACCTAAGGGGCTCCAGACAGGCCCATTTGTGCTTGGCTTGTGCACTCTTCTGAGAAAATGAGAAGGAATCCCCCCGTGCCCTGGACCTGGTGATATTTTCTTGGCTGGAATGCGATTTCTCATACAAAAGGCAGACCTGGCTGTTCTGGGGCTTTTTCCTAGGATTTGCCTTACACAGGTGATGTTCCTCAGAACTGAGCACTGGGATGCCAACAGCAGCAATACAGAAAACCACTGTGGGACAGAGCAGCAGGAAAAGCAACATCTAGACTTCCCAGAGCTGTAACAGGAACACCCTCAGTGCAATGCCTGGTGAGTGAAGTGGAGCTGGCAGGCTGACCCATAAACATTCTGTATTTACCTTTCAACAGAGTCAACATTGAAACAGAACAAATCTCTCTTGTAGTCGAGGTTCCTTGAGGTGCACCTGTAGATGCTGCCAAGTGTCTTTGAGCAGCCAGAGCAGAATAAGGTTTCTACTACGCTGTAAGTAAGAAACAACATTGATTCAGAACAAAATAAAAGGAAGCACCTCACTCCATCCCTTTCCTTAAAAAAAAAATAAATCATGCATTAGAATTTTTTTAAGCATTCATTCTTGCTTTACACAGCGTATATTATGAGCACTCATCTTTCAGCCTGAATTTGCCACAGCTCCTCAGGCTGACTGACCTCAGCAAGACCACCAGAATCACTAAATTATGGTAGGGATCTTAAAGCTCACCCCATCCCACCCCCTGCCATGGCAGGGACACCTTCCACCATCCCAGGCTGCTCCAGCCCCTATGTCCAGCCTGGCCTTGGGCACTGCCAGGGATCCAGGGGCAGCCACAGCTGTGCCAGGGCCTGCCTGCCCACCCTCACAGGGAAAAACTTCTTCCTGATATTTAATCTAAACCTGCCTTCCTTCATCCTAAAGCCATTCCCCTTGTCTGTCGCTGTCCGTCCTTGTGAGCAATCCCTCTGCCTTAGGCCACAAGCGGCTTGTACAAACCCCCCGAGGAAGTGCTCCAGGGCTCTCGGGGGCACACCAGCACTCCGGGCCCTCCACCGGGCTTGTCCTCAGCGCCTTCCCGGGAACCCCCGCCTCCCCCGGGGCTGTGCCCAGCCGCGACCGGCCCTCACCATCCGCACTCGCCGGGGAGGTTGGAGATCTTGCGCTCGGGGTCCACGGCGACGCTGGCGGCCATACCTGCAGCGGGAAGGAGGGAGGGAGGGAAGGAGGGATGGCGCCGTGACGGCGGCGGTCCCGCGCCGGGCGGCGGGGCTGGCACTCACTGCGCAGCAGGATGCAGCCGCTCTCCTCGTCGTTGGACACCCAGCTGGAGGTGTCGCCCACGGGCCGCCTGCAGCCGGCGCACAGGAACACCATGGGCATGGGGGCCGCCTCCGCCCGCTGCCGCTCGGCCCGGCCCGGCTCCAGCAGCGACAGCGAGTACTCCAGCGCCGGGCACAGCGCCAGAGGGTCCTGCCCGACCGACATCGTCTTCGAGTCGCCCGCCGAGGGAGCGGCAGTGACACCGGACATAGCCCTCGAATAGCCCGCCAAGGAAGCGGGCTCCGCCCCCGACATGGCCCCGGAACCGCTCGGGGCCCGGCCCGCACCGCCCTCACGGCGCGGCTGCCCCGGAACCGCTCCCGGGCCGGCCCAGCGCCGCCCGTGGCGCCTTTAACCTCCTGCGGTCACGGAACCACAGCAAAGGTTGTGGTCATTCCAGTACACCGTTTTCATATGAGGCGTTTTATCGAGTCACTCCTAATTCAGAGAATCTCCTGAGCCGGAAGGACCCACAAGGACCACCCAGTGCCACCTTGTCCCTGCACAGACAGCCAGCAGTCCCACCCCGGGCACCCTGGCAGCGCTGTGCAAACGCCCCTGGAGCTCTGTGGGGCCCTGCCCATCCCTGGGGCGCTGGGCAGCGCCAGCACCCTCTGGGGAAGAGCCTTTCCCTGCTCTCCAGCCTAAACCCCTCCAGACACAGCTCCAGCCGTTCCCTAACCCAGTGCCACCTTGTCCCTGCACAGACAGCCAGCAGTCCCACCCCGGGCACCCTGGCAGCGCTGTCCAAACGCCCCTGGAGCTCTGTGGGGCCGTGCCCATTCCCTGGGGAGCTGGGAGTGCCAGCACCCTCTGGGGAAGAGCCTTTCCCTGCTCTCCAGCCTAAACCCCTCCAGACACAGCTCCAGCCGTTCCCTCGGTCCCGCCGCTGTCACAGGGAGCAGTGCCCGGAGCTGCCCCTCGGGAGGAGCTGCAGCCCCGGTGAGCTCTGGCAGGCTGAAGAGGCCGAGTGCCCGCAGCCACTCCTGGTGTGGCCCCTGCAGACCCCAGCCCTCTCCATCCAGACACATTCGGGAATGTTTTCCAGCCTGGCTGTGCTCAGGAGCTCCCAGGAACAGTGCACTGCTGCGAAAGAAGGGTTTGTGATCCAGCTGGCACTTGTCCATCCTGTCCCTGGGTTACAGGGCACCCATCTCAGTTTAAAACATCCTGAGGAACAACATGAGTCTCCAGCAGGAAGCAAGGATTGCATTTTCAGGGCTGCTCTTACATCTCTGCCATAGATTAACACTCGTTGCCACTAGATGTTTTCAGTCCCAAGGCAGTCCTTGAGCTGCGGGACCCCAGAGCGATTGGCACAGGCACCGGTTGTGCAATTCTCTTTCTGAGGGCGCTGAAGTACAATGAGGCAAGGTAGTGGGTCGGAGTTCTGAGCTGGTTTAACAGGCACCACTGACATGGCTAACGGAACAAACTCCTCTGACTATTTCTGGTCTTATGAATACTACTGGGATTACATAGATCCAATTCCAGTAGATGGAAGCAAGTTGAAGGTTAATAAATGTAAGTATTGTGGAGCGGTATATGCTACTGTAGCACAGGGAAAATGTTGCGTAGCTTGTCTCACTGACCTGGTTTTGTTTCCTTGCAACAGAGTCCATGCCAGTGCCTGGTTTGTGTGAATGGGTGTTTGCCTTCAGGCTGGATAATTACTAACAAACCCTCTGGGCTTTATCTTACAGTATCTGAAGCTATAAGACTGCTGACACTAATTCTTGTTTACAAGGGCAGATTTTTTTATGAGTCATTTGCTAAGGGGAAATGTGATGACTTGTGGATCTGTATTGTGGGGTGCTAGTTACCTGTGTGCTGCTGTCACCAAAGTTCACTGAAGGAGCAGAGGTTTTTTCATAAAAACACTGTTTTCATCCTGGGACAAGGCTGGCATTGCAACTGGTAAGCATTCACTTTTAGTATAGGAAATGTATGTTTCCACTAGCCAGGAACAATAAGCTGCAAACATATTCTTTGACCTTCCCTCCCATCCCTGAAGATGCCTAAAACTGTTCAGATGTGGATTCAGAGACTAAAATTGTTTTTCACAAGGTTATTACAATGAAATTATTATATATTCTAGGAAAATGTGATTGCCTTTCAGAATATCTTAATGTCTCTCTCATTAACAATGCAAGAAACTGCCTTCATCTGATGGTGAATGGTGTTAGGAGCTGCTTGTCCTTCGCTTGCTTGGACAGCAGTAGCAAAAAGGAGCAGAAACTTGCTCTGCACCACCTCTGGAAAAGCTTTTCTGTGCTTTCAGATCAGCTGAGGGTTTACTGCCTCCAAACTTAGAGCACCACACCTTAAAGAAAGTGATGTGAGTATCCACATCCCTCCATACAGAAAATCTTGCTCTCCAATGCTGCAGAGCAGCACTTGGAGCTGCTGAGACCAGCCAAATTATGAGCAGCTCCTCTGATTCTCTTAGTTTAAAGTTAGGGCAGATGATTACCCCCAAATTCCACCAGGGAAACCCCAAACTGCTTAGCTAAGCTAGATGTAAGTCTCACTGGCATAGCAAAACCCAGGAATCAGGAATAAACGTTTCCCCTGTTTTCTCCTTAATAACATTTTTCTACCATTTGGATATTACCTGGTGCATTACAGAGGTGGCATTTGTGTTATAGCACTTCCCTCCCTGGCAGTTGGTAGGGAATTTTTCTTCAGCTGCCAGTGTTCTTGAAATTTGTAGAAACTGCTTCTGGAGACAAGATGCGCACCCTCTGTTAAATTTAATTTAGATTTGTTGACAGTTTTGTGGAGGAATAGAGAGTGCATCCTCTTGGTACTATTATTCTTCCTTCTCCAAATACCAGTGGGAGAACAGTGGGTTACAAGTTCTAATCAAAACACCAAGGGAAACAATTCCACAGCTGCTTGGGATATTTCACTGTTTTGAGTAAAAGTACCAGTCAAGCAATGAATATACTTTATCTGTCTTTGCACAATATTTACATTCTTAGGCCTCCAGAAGCTGCTGCTGGGATTATTGGCTCCATGTGCTCAGGGCCATTGCTGGGGCAGCCCTAGGGAATTGCACAGTCACCATAACCCTGCCATGGGATTGCAGTTACCTTGTTCAGTTTTGCCTGCTAGGGCTTTTTTTAATTCTTTTAATGTGAAACAGAGACCTGAATCTCTGCACTTCTTTTCCTCTGTTACGTGGCTGGTCCCTGAAAATTTCTGAGACTGAATTTGTCTCATAAAAATGAATCTAAACCCAGATAAAAAGCCACGATCTTGCTTTCTATTTGTAATGTTGTGCATCTCTCTCAATTTTGTATGAAAATAATTGAAAATCTTAACTGGCCCATGACCTAATAGGTTATTCAAAAGCATGCACACACACATGCACAACAGGTGATGGTAAAATTTAGCAATAGGAAAGCTTTTTGTGGATTGGTAAAATATGAAAACACATTATTCCAGTTTAAAAACAAAAAAACCTCCAAAAAACCCAAAAACCCAAACAAACACAAAACCCAAACAAAAGCAAACAAACAAACAAACAAAAAACAACTAATTGCAGAATTAGAATTTAAACCCAGGAAATTTTGCTCAAGCTCCACCTGAGCCCCGGAGCCAATATATTTAGCTTCACTGAATTCCATGAAATCCATTAAAACTTTTTAAAAGATGAAGCCAAAATAGTCTGACAGGGAATTCTATAAATCCACACTCTTAATTTCTGTACCAATGGTGTGGAGAACTTCAACACTTTGGGCTTTTCAAAATAAGCTGCACCTCCCCACTGATAATTCTCAGCAGCCCAGCCAAAACTCAGGTTTCTGGTAAGGGTGCAGCTGGGCCAGCTCTAGTTTTGGGTTTAAAAGGACCAATTCCCTTAATCTCTCTGTGGCTTGATGGCAACACATACCGAACTTTTTCACAAAGAAACACTCAATCAAACATCCTGGACCTGTTTCAAAGGACACAATGTTTTCTGTACTTCCAGAGGGAAGATTTATTTTATCTTGGTCAATATTTGTCTCTGGAGTCAGTGACCCTTCTTTCTCCACTTCATCTGAAGTGAGTCACCGGCTGTGGATCCAGGCGGGGCACGCAGACTTCCCAAGGCCAGCCCCACCAGCAGCACAGGGCCCCAGCAAGGAGCTTTTGTGGAACGGTGGCCCAAGGTGCCATGGGGGCAGGAGCGGGTTCTCAGGGAGCCCAAGGCTCAGGCAATGAGCCTGGCACAGCCCTGAAGCCTTCATGGAGGAGCAGCCCCCTCTGCTCCCCCAGGCACCACACCAGCTGAGGACGCGCTCTGGCACTGGCAGCCCTGTGTTCCTCAAAGGAACCGCGTGCTCCTGGCAAAGCACTTTGCACTGTTCTGCAGTGGCTGCAGGGGCCCTGAGCAGGGCAAGGGGCACCTTCTGTCCCACTGCTGTGCTCGAGGCTCACCAGCACTGTGCAACACTGCTGCTTCTCCTGGCATAAAATGCTTTCAGGGCTGGAATTCCCTCCCTGAGGGCCTCTCCCTAAGGCTCCTGCAGGATGAGGCAGTAACCACTCAGGCTTCCTGCACTGTGGCTGTGTAACTGGAACCATGTTCAGTTATCTGCACAGGTCTAGGCACCAGAACACTCCGGAGTGTTTGGAGTGTTCCCTAGGGCTTTTCCCAGCCCCATCCCCATGGCCATACTCTGTTAGGAGGCTCCCAAGACCTTTAACAAATTGGCACTTAGACTCCTCTCTCTGAAAGGAGAAACGGATCAGAAGGCTCACCTTTCCTCTTGCTGTGTTTCATTTCTGCCGTGCAAAAAGGGCATGTGACACAATCCCTCTGCTGTGCCCACAGACTCCATCGTCATCGCCTTCTGGGTGGGCCTCGCTGCCTTCGTGACCTTTCTTTTCCTTGTTCTGCTGTGTATGTCCTGCTCTGGATCCACGCCAGCAAAGTGAGTATAACCAGAGATAACGTGAGCATAACCAGAGACAACGCGAGCATAACCAGAGGCAAAGTGAGTATAACCAAAGATAAAGTAGATAAAGTAAGTAGATACTGGCATGGAAAAATAGCCTGTGGGAAGCATTCACTGCCTCCTGTGATCCAGCACTGACACAGAACGTTTAAAACTGCACAGAGGTGAAACTTTTTCTGTCAGTATTTGGTTGGAGGGCCTCTTGACCCACTGCTCCTCCTTTTCTGATCAGGAAAATTCAGCTCAGCAGGCTGGGCAGAGATTCGGGATTAGGTCACAAACAAGCAGAGGGAAACAGTGGTCAGAAGGAGCACTAATATTCTCATTTATTGGCACACTTGGGCCTCTGGCATGCTCACAAAAGGTAACAAAAACAATAACAAAAAGGCAGTTTACCCAAATAAACCACAAAGCAGGAGGCAGACTAACCACACAACAAACATGGAAATGGACATGAAATTGCAGGGTAACAGAGGCATGTTACCAACAATTTACTGTTCCTAAAAAACTGGCAGAAGTCTGTGTACATGAAAATCTCAGACTGCTTGCAAGACTTAAACAAAGTATTGATTTTTAAAGTTTTTCATCATGTTACTGAGCAAAATACTTGGCTTAAAATGCACATATTTATCTCTCATGTATTCAATTTTGGCCATCAAAGGAGCCATTGTGAACAAGGCAAGTCTAGAAATGTTTTCTGGAGTGCCCAGAAATCATTAATGAAAAACAGCATTCAATGAGATTTGTTTAGGCTTTGAAACCATCCTATGTTATCACTTTCCTAGGCTTCTAACCTACTGTGAGAAAACAATTTTAGGGCTGAAGAAACTATTAAACCCAGTCACAGACAAAACTTGCCCTTTTTGGTTGAGTTCTGTTTGTTTCCTAAGCCCCATTCAATTCCACTCCTCCCGATTCCAGCACCGAAACCCAGTGAAGTGCTGGAAAGAAGCCACAAGTGTGAACCTGCCCCCCCTGCCCTGCCATCCCCTGTGCGGTGTCACCCTCCCGCTGCCCTTGGCATGACAATCATCCAGTGTCTGTATGGAAACCTCACGTCTCTTTCCTGGTGATAATCCCGATACTCACCCAGCCAGCGCCTGCTCACGTCACCGGTCAAGGCTGGAGAGCTTTCACCTTCATCCTTTCTGTGCTCATCCATCTCTGCCGAGCCCAGGCACGGGCAGGACCCCTGTGCTCTCCCAGCTCACCCTGGAGAGAGAAGGCAGCTGCTCTGGGCACCCTAGGCCAGGGCCTGCCCGCCCTGCCAGGGAACAATTCCTAATTCCCAATATCCCATCCAGCCCTGCCCTCTGGCAGTGGGAGCCATTCCCTGTGTCCTGTCCCTCCATCCCCTGTCCCCAGTCCCTCTCCAGCTCTCCTGGAGCCCCTTAAGACCCTGCAAGGGCTCTGAGCTCTCCCTGGAGCCTTCTCCTCTCCAGGTGAGCCCCCCCAGCTCTCCCAGCCTGGCTCCAGCCCTGCAACAGCTCCAGGGCCTCCTCTGCACTTGTTCCAACAGCTCCACATATTTCTTGTGCTGGACACCAGGGCTGGGGCAGCTCTGCAGGTGGGGTCTCACCTGAGTGGAGGAGAGGGGCAGAATCCCCCCCACCTCTTTGGATGCAGCGTTGATGCAATTTTGGCTATGCATGACACCCATCTCCTCTCCCAGTGGGTAACACCAAGGGTTAACTCCAGAGCAGAGTGCCTGGTTCTCACCTGCACATCTGCACAGAAACCAGTCCCTGCCAGGTGTCCTCCAAAAGGCCACAGCTCTCCTCTCTCAGGCACAGCTGAATCCTGAGGCACGGAGATCTCCTGGACGTGAATCCCCGGTCTGATTGCAGCACACACTTCCCTGCAATCCCCAAGGGTTTGGTGCCAGTTTTGGTGGGTGAGTTTGGGAGAGGGGGAAGGCTGATGCCTGTCCAAGCCCTGCAGAGAGGGATCCATGTCCCAGTCCCTTTTGTCAGCACTGTACCATCCCACAGAAATAAGACAGAAGGTCTGGAGCATGGCACCACTGATTTCAAACCCATCTGCCTGCCAAGGCAGCTGATGATCGCCCTGCTGGGATGGAGACCATTAACATTTGTTTCAATGGTGTGTATAAACATCCAAAAAGAAAGACTTTTCCAGCTGTATCTTAGCTCAGCTTTAGTTCTGTGATTTTGTCTAGGCTGAGGTCAGTTGCAGCACTGCCTAAGAGTGACCTGACCCGACCAGGTGGGTTTCCTTGGGTACTGGGACACTGGAACTCTTCCACCCTCCTCCAACCTCTCTGCTGTTCCAGGGGTGTTTAACAATTAACAGAGCAGGCTGGAGCTTTCCTCACAGTCCCAGCTCTCTGGAATGCAAGTTCTCTAGCTGATTTTAAAGTATGGATAGCTAGCTGGTGGTATCTGGCTGCTTGATAGACAGGAAAGAAAACATCCTGTTTTGGTAAGAATTATTTTTTGTCTTGCTTCTGTCAAACAAAAAGGAAAGATGTCTTGAATACACCTACAGCTTAGCAAAGAAAATTCCAAGCCTACCTTCCTGTGCTGGGCCTGCTGCTGAGACTCGGTGGCTTTGTTTCTGCTTTTTGAATTACTCTGCTCGGTTCGGCTGCACTCGGCTTGGTTCGGCAGAGCTCGGCTGAACTCTGAGGGCGGCGCGGCCTCACGTTCGACACACGAAGCTCGGTGCTGCCCAGCCATCGCCCTGTCAGGAAAATTAATCCACAAACACCATAGGTTTATGTCCAAAAGGAGACACAGGAGCCCTGTAACTTTATTGGCATAAAGGGAAAGGCCATGGGCATTCCCCATGGGGTCACCCAAGATGGGGGAGGACACAGCCTCGTTTTTATCCTGATTTCTTGGATGTGTTTCCTTCCCTCTGTGTTCCCCATTGGCTGAGGTATTTGAGAGGTACAAACGTCCCAAATTTCCTAATACAGACGGCCTTCTGATGTGCACCCCCCTCTTCTTTGTGTCTGTGTTCTTTTTCTTCAAATCCAGGAATTCAGCACGGGCTTGGGTGAGCAGCAGTCTCTGTCAATTACTGGAATTCCTCTGGAATTTACGGTTCTGTTAATTCCTTCTCTCACCTATCAGTATCTGGGTGTGTCTACCAGCAGACCCACAGTTTGTTTGTAAAGACACCTCCTTCTCATTCCTTCCAGCACGGCCACGAACGGGAGCGCGGGGTCGAGCAGGAGCTCTTTAGGCTGTGACTGCAGGCGCACTAATTAATGGGCACGAGAGCACCCAGGGCAGATCCTGGTGCAAGGACCGAGCGCTTGCCAGCGGAATGTGTTGGAATCCCTCTGCGATCCCAGCAGTATGAAGTTTGGGAATGCTGCGGGACATGCTCAAGGAGTCAGTAATGTTTTTTCAAAGAAACCCACCACGGAGTGGTGGAAGAAAACAATAAACAATATTGCCTATTTATTGTCAGTGTCTTTGCCTTTTGTGACGTTGGTCGGCTCCGCGGGGGTAAATTAACTTCAGGAGGAGCTTTTGCTGCTGTTCTTGCTCGTGTGTTGGAATACAGCAGAGTCCTTGTCACTTTACACTTCAGGAAATACAAATTCAGCAGAATTTCAGTTCGTCTGAGCTCGGCTGGTCCTGTACAGGTTCGGCTGAGCTCGCTCGGTTCGTGTGAACTGGGATCGGTAAGATTGGATGCGCCTCGGTTCGCCATACTTCGGCTACATTCGGCAAAGTCGCTTCGGCTCGGCTGCACTCGGAGCCGCTCGCTCCGTTCCCCTCAGCTGGGCTCGGCCCGGCTCCCTGAGGGCGGCGCGGGCCGGGCCGAGGCGCCGTCGGGAAAGCGGCGCCGGTTCACGTTAAACACGCAGAGCTCGGCGCTGCCCGGCTGCCGTGTCCCGCGGGCGGCCCGGGGTGGGCAGGAGCTCATTAGGCAGTGACTGCACTCGCGCTAATTAATGGGCACGACAGCAGGGGGTCTGGTTCGGCGGAGCTCGGTTGGGTTCATCCAACCTCGTAAGGCTCACCTCGGTTCCGTCGACGTCGTAAGGTTCGGCTGGTCTCGCCTTGGTTCGGTTCAGCTCCTTCGATTCGGCTGAAGGCGGCGACGGTCGGGTCTCTTCAAATAAACTCGGCTGAATTCGGCTTGTTCGGCTCGCTTGTTCGTCTACACTAGGCTTGTTTCGGCTCTTCGGCAATTATCGGCTATTTTCGGCTCTTCGGCTACACTCGGCAATTATCGGCTATTTTCGGCTCTTCGGCTACACTCGGCAATTATCGGCTATTTTCGGCTCTTCGGCTACACTCGGCAATTATCGGCTATTTTCGGCTCTTCGGCTACACTCGGCAATTATCGGCTATTTTCGGCTCTTCGGCTACACTCGGCAATTATCGGCTATTTTCGGCTCTTCGGCTACACTCGGCAATTATCGGCTATTTTCGGCTCTTCGGCTACACTCGGCAATTATCGGCTACATTCGGCTATTTTCGGTTCTTCGGCTAAATTCGGCTATTATCGTCTAAACAGGATTTTCCCGCTTTTTTTTGCCGCCCTCTTGAGAAGGTCAAGCGAGTCCGCGACACGGTACTCCCAAGATGGCGGCCGTAAGAAGACCTCGGCAAACAGAGGCGTTTTCGCCAATGCCTGTTAGCAACCCGCCGAAACACGACCGGCGGCGCCACTGAGCACACAGTCCGTGTCCACAGCACTTCAAACGCCACAGAAAATCCTACCGGGCCGCGCCGGCGCCAGGGTGCTGTGCAGGCAGTCAAGTAGACATACGGGGGGTCCTCGTTTTTCCCGCTCTTTTGGCCGCCCTCTTGAGAAGGTCAAGCGAGTCCGCGACACGACGCGACACGCCACTCCCAAGATGGCGGCCGCGAGAAGCCCTCGGTAGAGAGAGAGGCGTCTACACTCAAGCCTGTCAGCGCCCGCCACAAACAGCACCGCCCACGGCGCCGCTGAGCGCACAGCCCGTGTCCACAGCACTTGAGTCGCCACAGAAAATTCCTCCGGGGCCGCGCCGGCGTCAGGCTGCTCGGCAGGCAGTCCAGTAGACGAACCCGGGGGGCCTTTAGTTTTCCCGCCCTTTTGCCTCC